TGCAAGGGCCCAAGGCCTTGGGCCATCTTCTACTGCTTTCCCAGGCCATAGCAGAGAGCTGGATGGGAAGTGGAGCAGCTGGGACATAAACTAGCGCCCATATGGGATGCTGGCGCTTCAGGTAGCGGCTTTACCCGTTATGCCACATGATTTTAAAAATTTTAATTAAGTATCTGTGAACCAGTTGTTTTGGTATTGAATAGTACAAATGACCTAGACTTAGAATTTCAAGATTGTGTGGAGTTTATTACATGTGAATTACAAAATCATTTAAAGTGCATGTCATGATTGTGTATCCTCCCGTTTGTATTAAATTTTTTAAAAAAATTATTAATTTATTTGAAAGTTAGAGCTACACAGAGAGAGAAGGAGAGGCAGAGAGAGAGCGAGCGAGAGAGACGGAGACAGAGACAGAGATAGAAAGGTCTTCTATCCGCTGGTTCACTCCCCAGTTGGCCACCACGGCAGGAGCTGTGCCAGTCTGAAGCCAGGAGCCTCCCCTGGGTCCCCCACATGGGTGCAGGGGCCCAAGGACTTGGGCCATCCTCTACTGCTTTCCCAGGCCATAGCAGAGAGCCAGATGGGAAGTGGAGCAGCCGGGACACAAACCCGCGCCCATATGGGATGCAGGCACTGCTTTACCCACTACACCACAGCGCCTGCCCCTGTATTAAATTTATTTTACTTCAGTCACTTTGCAATTCTGAAGGCCTTAAGGCAAACATTTTTAAAATATTTTTAAAATACCCTGGAAATGCTTTATCAAATGCAAATGATCATCATAGTGATATTTTTATTTTAGAATTCACTGACTCATTATTTGTTACCCCAAAATGTAAATACAGTGCTTTTACAGTAGATAGCAGATATTCACAGAGTGGTAAAAAATTTTAGTCACCTGAAACAATCTTTCCAGATTAGGTCATACAAAGCAGACCGCTGCCTTGTTTCAGTTCTTTTACTGTAAACAAATGCCCTTTGGAGATTTATGTAGTGCAAAGTTTGTAGCACTTTTGTTCTTTCTGTTAGTGCTTTTGCTGTTACACATAGCATTTGGCCTGGTGGTTAAGATGTTGATTGGGACACCCATGTCCCACATCAGATTACCTTCTGATTTCAGCATCCTGCTGGTGTGGGTTCTAGCAGACAGTGGTGATGGCTCAAATAATTGAGTTTCTGCCATGCACGTGTGAGACAGGGATGGAGTTCCTGGCTTCTGGCTTTAGTCATTTTGGATATTTGGGTACTGAACTAACAGACAGGAGCTCTTTGTCACTCTCTGCCTCTTAAATAAGTAAATAAATTTTTAAAAATGCCCTTAAGTATACTGCTAAAATGCTATATGCAAGGCTATTATTATGTGCCTTATAGAAGAAAATACATGTGTCAGGTAAGCTTCATTCAGGCATGAGTAAATATAGTCTTTTTGGCCGTGATCTCAGTATTACTGAATCAATATTATATATTAAATTGTGGTATCTTTAAATAAAAACCTACATGAAAACAAGGCTATACATTAATCGGTTAGTGAAAATGTTTTGACCAGAAGCTCAAAGAAACTTAATTAACTCTGTTTCTCCTAGGAGCCGTAGTTCATAGCAAATTTAGTGCCTGCATCATCTTTATAGAAATAACTGTTTCAGCCGGCGCCGCGGCTCACTAGGCTAATCCTCCACTTTGCGGCGCTGGCACACCGGGTTCTAGTCCCGGTCGGGGCGCCGGATTCTGTCCCAGTTGCCCCTCTTCCAGGCCAGCTCTCTGCTGTGGCCCAGGGAGTGCAGTGGAGGATGGCCCAAGTGCTTGGGCCCTGCACCCCATAGGAGACCAGGATAAGTACCTGGCTCCTGCCATCGGATCAGCATGGTGCGCTGGCCACAGCGTGGCGGCCATTGGAGGGTGAACCAACGGCAAAAGGAAGACCTTTCTCTCTGTCTCTCTCTCTCACTATCCACTCTGCCTGTCAAAAAAAAAAAAAAAAAAAAAAAAAAGAAAGAAAGAAAGAAATAACTGTTTCAAATAATGAAGCTAGATCATGTACTTTTTAAAATTACCTATTTATTTGAAAGGCAGAAAGAGAAGGAGTAATATATTCCATTTGCAGGTCCATTCCCAAATGCTTGAAACAGCCAGCGCTGGGCTAGGCAGAAACCAGGATTGAGCAGTTTTCAAGCCGCATCTCTCATGTGGGTGACAAGGACCCAGCAACTTGAACCATCATCTCTGCCTTTTGGGACCTGCTTAGTAGGAAAACAGATCTGAAGTGGAGGCTGGGTACAAACCCAGGCATTCTGATTTGGGATATGGGCATTGCAGCTAGCATCTTAACTGCTGCACAAAATGCCCATCCCCAAGTTAAGGGATTATTAAAAAATAACAAATATGTAATTTTTAAAGAGTATGTTGTTATTTGAGACCAGATGATTCATAAATTTTGGACAGTTGAAAAGAAGAAGGAAATGATTTACACATGCACGGAAACCTGAAACCTAGAGAAGCAGGAAGGAAGCACATTTAGTTAGCATTGCTGCCTGGCAACAATGAGGTCCTTAGACTTGTACTTAGCTTTTGTATGTATCAGTAAATCATGTTCCCTGTTTCCTTCCAACTAAAGGGATATTTCATTCTTTGGGCATAGACTAGGAAAAATAAGGGAACAGATTACTGAACCTACTTAGTATTGATGGAGAGGGCAGTCATTGGGGAAAGAAAGAGAGGAGTTGGCTGGCTCCGCGGTTCGATAGGCTAATCTTTCGCCTGCAGCGCCGGCACCCTGGGTTCTAGTCCCGGTCGGGGTGCCGGATTCTGTCCCGGTTGCTCCTCTTCCAGGCCAGCTCTCTGCTGTGGCCAGGGAGTGCAGTGGAGGATGGCCCAAGTGCTTGGGCCCTGCACCCTCATGGGAGACCAGGAGAAGCACCTGGCTCCTGGCTTTGGATCAGTGCAGTGTGCCGGCCGCAGCGGCCATTGAGGGGTGAACCAACAGAAAAGGAAGACCTTTCTCTCTGTCTCTCTTTCTCACTGTCCACTCTGCCTGTCAAAAAAAAAAAAAAAAAAAAAAGGAGTTTTAGAAGAAACCATTACTTCCACATTGTTAATGATAACCACCTAGAACCTGCATCAAGTTCTTGATTCCATCTTCTGGTCATCACTGGTGATGCCACCCGTGGAAGACCTGAATTGTGTTTCAGACCCCATCCCAGCTTTGGTACTATTTGGGGCATGAATCAGCACAGCTTTCTTTTTACTGTGTGTCTCAAGTAATTAGTTAAGATAAATTTGATAGGTAGATACAGAATGTACTTAACAAAAGTTTGACAAGGTATAATAAAAAATAAATTTATTTTATATCTTTTCCCACATTCTTATTTTCCAGAAAATTTCCCCCATATCTCTCTTTCCATATTCAAACACACACACACACCCCTGTACATATACATACACACACACACATATGAGAGGCAGAAAGAGAGACACTGGCAGCTCCCATCCACTGGCTCACTCCCCATATGCCCACATTGGCCAGTACTGGGCTGGGCTGGAGCCAGGAACTTAATCCGAGCCTTCTATGTGAGTGCAGAGAACAAACCACGTAAGTCATAACCTCTGACTCCCAGGGTTTACAGAGGTGGGAAGCTAGAATTATGTAGAATCTCTAATTTTAATTTTCACTAATGGTTCATTGCCAGTTCCATTTGTTATAGCAGTTTATCTGTTTTCAAATGCTTTAGTGATGTTCAGTTGAGGTCTTTGTGTTCAGTTTTTGATTCCATCTAGACATCCTTAATAAGCTTTAAAAATAAGCATTTCAAACATCCCTATGTTGTATTCTAGTCATTTCTTTCTTCAATGATTCTTATTTTAAAAAATTATTTTCACCTTATTTAACCCATGAACTCCAAAGTTTTCAATTCTGTGAATATTCCAAATGACAAACATTTATTTTAGAATTAACATAAGTGGTATAATTATTGCTCAGTTTAAATTTTTGTAGGTGTCCTGTATATAGGATAGTGAGACATGGGCTAAAATATTTTTCATTTCTTAATTGCTTTTAAGTTATCAGCAATCTTTTCATGCCCTACCAATAACTTGTTAATGTAATCTGTATTTGTTACTTCAATTCGTTGAAATATATAATGTTTATATTGGTTCAAGATTCAGTAATAGTTGTATAGGCAAGTGACTTTCTTTTCTGGATCCTTGTTGTTAGAGAACTGTGCTGAGGTAATTATTAGAATTTGTGAGGATATCAAAACTTTCTAGAGCTGTATCGACCAATATAATCTGAACCATTAGGGACTATTTGATTTAATTATGTTTAAATAAAATGTAATATTCAGTTCATCAGTCACACTGGTCACTTTTTTAAAAAATTGGAAAAGCAACAAGCTTTGCAGACACACACACACACACCCACACACACACCCATACACACATACCTTTTTCATCTACTGGTTCACTCCCCAAATGCCTGTAATGGCAGGAGCTGGGTTGATCCAAAGCCTGGAGCCAGGAACTAAATCTGGGTCTCCCTTATGAGTGTCAGTAACCCAGTTACTTGAACCATCACCACTGCCTCCCAGAGTTTGCGTCAGCAGAAAGCTGAAGTCAGGAGCCAGAGCCAAATGGCAAACCCAGGTATTCCAATATGGGCATCATACCCAGTGTCTGTACCTTAAAATGTAGAGCTAAAAGGCACTTTAGAAATTATCTAGTTCTATCCTTTCATCTTACAGGCAGAGGAAACCAGTGTGTAACGGAGAAAATAATTTACTGCAGGGCACAGTCATTTTGAGGCGGAGCCAGCACCAGCACCAACACATTCTGAGTTCATGTACTGAACGTTATGCTATTATGCTGTTGACCAAAGGAAAGATTTGGTTCCTTGCCTCTTCTCAAAAGCTTTAAGAATCTAGATGTAAGGGCTAAGCTGACAACATAAATGGTAGGAGGATGTAAATCTGGAAACCATAAATTCCATAATGTGTCTTTTCTCTTTTTAGAACAACAATTTGTAATCTTTACACAATGCCACGGATTGGAGAGCCTGTCTGGCTTACAATGATGTCGGGAACGCCAGAAAAGAACCAGCTTTGCCATCGTTTCATGAAGGAATTCACTTTTCTGATGGAAAATGCTTCTAAAAATCAGTATGACTTGTTTAATTTATTTCTTTTTATCAAAACGAAGTATCTAAATTGTGATCAAACCTGAATGATAGTTTATGAATGAATGCCACAAAACCGTATGAATTAAAAACAGTAAAAATGTCTTTATTATGTATTAAATTAAAATTCTTGACATCTTAACAGTGTTATCTGAAGCTTCCTATTTTTGTGAATTGTATCCACTAATGATAGTTTTCTTTCATAGAAAAGAGATAAAAAATTGGTAAGGAAGTCCTAGGATTCCAATGATAGATTTTTAATGTGATATTTTATCATGTTCTTTTACTTACTTATCAAGTCTTAGAAATCCAGGTGAATAATTCAGATGTTTTTATTCTCTGTGATAGTAGATAAAGTTTGCTTAATGCTTTCCTTCATTTTCCCATTCAGTAATTTGTAAATCAAAGACCCTGTGGATTGATTAACAAATTGCACAGATTAAAAAATGAAAAGAATCCATAGTTTTTCAAGTAGAATGTTACTTTTGTTTTTAAATTATGATCTAAAATAGTTACTTTTTAAAATTTTTTATTATTTATTTTATTTTGACAGGTAGAGTTATAGACAGTGAGAGAGAGAGAGAGAGAAAAAGGTCTTCCTTCTGTTGGTTCACTCCCCAAATGGCCGCCACAGCCGGCGCTGCACTGGCCCGACGCCAGGAGCCAGGTGCTTCCTCCTGGTCTCCCATGTGGGTGCAGGAGCCCAAGCACCTGGGCCATCCTGCACTGAAGTCCCGGGCCACAGCAGAGAGCTGGACCGGAAGAGGAGCAGCCGGGACTAGAACCCAGTACCCATATGGTATGCTGGTGCCACAGGTGGTGGATTAGCTAAGTGAACCACGGTGCCAGCCTCTAAAATAGTTATTTTATTTTGAAGATTTTCTTTAACTCCTGACAACAAAAAAATTTATTAACTTTCATTTTCATCCTGGTAGAATTTTTATCCATCTGTCTCCCCCCCACCCCTTTTTTGGGGGGGGGGGCATGTGTCCACTTGAAAATATGTACTCTCCTTGTTGAAACCTACAGTTTCATGAAGGCAGATTAGAATCTAACATTACATTTTGTTTTCAGATTCTTGCCAGCTCTCATTACTGCAGTTCTGACCAATCATCTTGCCTGGGTGCCAACAGTCATGCCAAATGGACAACCACCTATAAAAATATTTTTAGAGAAACATTCCTCTCAGAGTGTGGACATGTTGGCAAAGACTCATCCATATAACCCACTTTGGGCTCAACTGGGTATGTAGTCTGAACACCCTCATATATTACAGTTAAACTTTTGTGGAACTTTTTGGAATTATTCTGTAGCAAAAACAAAAATAAATAAAATGCTCACGGTTCCTTCCTCCATTCTATAACATCTCAACTTGTCTTTTTTTTTAAGATGTATTTATTTATTTGAAAGGCAGAGGCAGAGAAAGGGGCTGGGGTCTTCTATCCACTGGTTCACTCCCCAAATGGCTGCAATGGCCAGAGCTGGGCTGATCCGAAGCCAGGAGCCAGGAGCTTCTTCCATGTCTCCCACGTGGGTGCAGGGGCCCAAGGAATTGGGCCATCTTCTACTGCTTTCCCAGGCCATAGAAGGGAGCTGGATTGGAAGTGGAGCAGCTGAAACTTGAACCAGCGTCCAGTCTGCTAAATTGTCCTGTCCTCATCACGTGTATGACATCATTTCTGATAGGTCTTCCAGCGGAGCAAGGAGAACAGGCGGATAACTTGTTTGCTAGTAACTTCAGAGTCTTCAGTCTGTTTTATATTTTTATACTTTGCATTAGGTACTCAGCCTAGAAAAATTGAATCAGCAGTCATCTGTGAGAACTAGAGTAAATCTGGTAAAGAGTAGCAATTCACTGAGGTTACTATTGTTTGGTAAGTTGGTTTGGAAACTGTTTCCCTTGGTGCTGGCACAACTGAAAATGGAAAGTATTGGAGAGTACGGGTGGTTGATAAGTTTATAGGCATTAGGGAAGCACTGTGGCATGATGTATAAGTATGGGGCTAGACATTTGTCCCAATGCTTACGATGCTGGTTAAGATGCCTGCATCCCTTGTAAGAATGCCTCTGGATCCAGTACCTTACCTACTTTACCTCTGGCTTCTGTTGCAGCTTCTTGCTAAAGAAAATTCCAGGAGGTAGTAGTGATGCCTGAAGTAACTGGGTCCCTGCCACCCTGGTGGGAGACCTGGATTGAGTTCCTGGTTCCTTGTTCTGGCCTGACCCAGCCCAGGTTTGGCAGGGATTTGGAGAGTGAACCACTTAAAAGGATCCCCTTCTCTCTTCCTGTCATTCTCCCTCTCAAATAAATAAATTGATTAAATAAACTTTTAAGAAGTACAGGCTGTGGAGACAGGTACACCCCATTCGAGTCAGTTTCCTAATTTATAAAGTGGGAATGATTCAAAGAAGCAGTATAATAGAAATGAAAAGTTGAGAGGGAGTTTAGTAAGGAGAGTTTATTTTGTGCAAATAAAGAAGCTTGAATGAAAACTTGTGGACTAGCAGAGTTAGGGAAGGGAGAATACGTTGTGTGCATAAAAGGAGCTCAGGTGTTAAACGTGTAAAGTGTATTCGGTAGTCTGGTTTTAGTACTGCAGTAGAGGTTTTGGGTGAATAAAGATGAAAAAGGGCGGCTGTAAGAAGATGAAGTTGATGAGGGGGACGGTTGTGGAAGACTCAGTTGGCTTGCAAAAGCAATTTCAGTTTATTTGGTAACCAATGGCAATTTGAGAAGTAGTTTAGAACAGCAGCGTGGTGGTTTTTGAGGCAGTGTCTTAGAGAAAAAAATGTTTCATTGTATTGTCTGCATCCTTTTTTTTTTTTTTTGACAGGCAGAGTGGACAGTGAGAGAGAGAGACAGAGAGAAAGGTCTTCCTTTTTTGCCGCTGGTTCACCCTCCAATGGCCGCCGCGGCCGGCGCGCTGTGGCCCGCGCACCACGCTGATCCGATGGCAGGAGCCAGGTACTTATCCTGGTCTCCCATGGGGTGCAGGGCCCAAGCACTTGGGCCATCCTCCACTGCACTCCCTGGCCACAGCAGAGAGCTGGCCTGGAAGAGGGGCTACCGGGACAGAATCCGGTGCCCCGACCGGGACTAGAACCCGGTGTGCCGGCACCGCAAGGCGGAGTATTAGCCTAGTGAGCCGCGGCGCCGGTTGTATTGTCTACATCCTTTATGTATTTGAGACTTGTTTGTGTTTAAAAAGTGTGAATTGTTTTTTAGAGTAAAATAAAAGTTAAATGTGTATATTAGCAGCTTAACAAATCTTGAATTAATAATTTCAAATTCTCCATTTTTAAGTTAATTTTTGACCTATAAGTTATGATTTAATTTGCGCTATAACACAAATAGAGAAATTTGTGGTATGACTATTCCAGGTCTGCTCCATTCCCCCACTACTTCCTTTGTCTCCTTGTCTGTCAGCAAGAAATGTGCTTTCTTGTTTCTACACTGGATAGCTAAAGAATTCTTGTGTACATAATTCTCTGGGCAGTACTTTCCCATGTAGATAACGGTGCTCTGCATGGAGCCTGGCACAATGAATGTTCTTGGTAAATGTGGCTTTCAGAACTCACTCTTGGCCGGCGCCGCGGCTCACTAGGCTAATCCTCCGCCTTGCGGTGCCGGCACACTGGGTTCTAGTCCCGGTTGGGGCGCCGGATTCTGTCCCGGTTGCCCCTCTTCCAGGCCAACTCTCTGCTGTGGCCCGGGAAGGCAGTGGAGGATGGCCCAAGTGCTTGGGCCCTGCACCCCATGGGAGACCAGGAAAAGTACCTGGCTCCTGCCATCGGATCAGCGCGGTGCGCGGGCCACAGTGCGCCGGCCGCGGCGGCCATTGGAGGGTGAACTAGCGGCAAAAAAGGAAGACCTTTCTCTCTGTCTCTCTCTCTCACTGTCCACTCTGTCAAAAAAAAAAAAAAAAAAAAGAACTCACTCTTGGTTTTAGAACCACAACAGCTATTTAAGGGGGAAGCTAGAAAAGCTTTCTCTTCATCATTCTCTCTAGTTAAGACCATTCATCTCCTCCTACTGTGCTGTATAGAGTAAAGAACTAAAAACCTCTACTGCCTCTTATACATTAAGAGTATGTTTCTCATAATTAAAAAATAGCATTTTTGACTATGTGAGGAGAGAGACGATGTGCCTATTAACTAATTTTTCCATTGCAGGAGACTTGTATGGCGCTATTGGCTCTCCTGTGCGGTTAGCGAGGACTGTGGTAGTTGGCAAACGGCAAGACATGGTCCAGAGGCTGCTTTATTTTCTTACATACTTTATAAGATGCTCTGAACTTCAAGAAACCCATCTTTTAGAAAATGGAGAAGATGAAGCCATTGTTATGCCAGGCACAGTAATCACTACCACCCTAGAAAAAGGTGAAATAGAAGAATCAGAGTATGTGCTTATCACAATGCATAGAAACAAAAGTAGTTTGCTCTTTAAAGAGTCAGAAGAAACAAGAACTCCTAACTGTGGCTGTAAGTATTGCACTCGTCCACTTGTTGGGCAAAACGCAGAGAGTGCTTCACGACAGGACGGAGAAGATATCCAGAACAGCTCTACAGAGCTACTGGGAATTTCAGATGAATGCCGAATGGTTTGTCCTCCTGACTGCCAAGAAGAAAATGTTGTTGATGTTAAACAGTGCAGAGATAAATTAAGAACTTGCCTTGACACCAAGTTAGAAACAGTTGTTTGCACAGGATCTGCTCCAGTAGACAAATGTGCATTGTCAGAAGCAGGCCTAGAGCCAACAGAGGAAACATGGCACAGTGAGGAACTGCTGAATTCAGATCATCACACAGATAAAGCATTGAGATCTACAGGAGTGGTTGTGGAAAAAAAACCTCCAGATAAGATTGTACCTGCTGTATTTTCTTGTGAGGCAGCCCAGACAAAGGTTACTTTTCTGATTGGGGATTCTATGTCACCTGATTCGGACACTGAACTCCGGAGTCAGGCAGTGGTGGATCAAATTACCAGGCATCACACCAAACCACTGAAGGAAGAAAGAGGGGCAATTGATCAACATAAAGAAACTAAACAAACAACTAAGGACCAATCTGGAGAGTCTAATAGACAGAACTTGATTTCTGGAGAGCCCTGTGAACTCCCCTGTTGGAGTCATTCAGACTCTGAAAACATGAGCTTATTTGATGAATATTTTAATGATGATTCAATTGAAACCAGGACTATTGATGATGTTCTAGATAAAACAAATGCAGACAGTAAAGAACACTGCTGTGTGTTGGAGTTTTCAAAAATGTTGTGTACAAAAAACAGCAAACAAAGCAATGAATTTTGTAAATGTGTAGAGGCAGTTCACCAGGATTCATGTAAAACCTGCTTTCCTCAGCAGGACCAAAGAAATACACTCTCCATTCTTGTCCCCCATGGGGATAAAGAGAGTTCAGAGAAAAAAATTGCTGTAGGAACTGAATGGGACATTCCAAGAAATGAAAGTTCAGACAGTGCCCTTGGTGATAGTGAAAGCGAAGATGCAGGTCATGATATGACTAGACCAGTCAGTAGTTACTATGCAGGAGAGCAAGAAGACTGGGCAGAAGAGGATGAGATACCATTTCCTGGGTAAGTAGGATGTTTTCCTCTTATAGTAGGTCTTATTTAAAAAGTCTGTAACATTCTTCTGTCTAGCTGGTCTCTGAAGGGTAGTAGTAGCTAATGTAGAAGAGATCATTGTCCTAGACAAATTGTCTTTTAGCATCTTGTAGTTTTACTTCATAAATGCTAAGCTTCACAAGCTCCCTAGGAAAGCTTTGTGAAAGCATCAGAAAGTTAAAGGACCTGGTTGATAAGTAGTTGTAATTACATACTGCTTAAGAGTTTTCAAGCCATTTTAAAATGAAGTATGACCCCCCAGAATGTGCATAGTGAGTCTGGAAGTTATGGTGAAGTTCTCACTGAGAAGGTAGAAAAGGATCTGGGCAAGAACTAAGAGGAAAACAGGCAGTGTATACTCTAGATCACGTAGAAGGAGAGCATCAGGGATTGAGAAATGTTAGACACCAGCTTTGGAATTTAAGATATTTAGCTAGTTTATTTTGGATGTTCATTTTCTCAATATGATTATATTAAGAAGTGTTACAAATACAAGGAACAAGTCTCCTGAAATCTATTATAAATAGTAAGATTTATGCTCATATCATTACAAAGTTATGTATCAGGCCTTTTTTTTTTTTTTTTTTTTTTTTTTTTTGACAGGCAGAGTGGACAGTGAGAGAGAGAGAGAAAGGTCTTCCTTTTTGCCGTTGGTTCACCCTCCAATGGCCGCCGCGGCCGGCGCACTGCACTGATCCGATGGCAGGAGCCAGGAGCCAGGTGCTTTTCCTGGTCTCCCATAGGGTGCAGGGCCCAAGCACCTGGGCCATCCTCCACTGCACTCCCTGGCCACAGCAGAGAGCTGGCCTGGAAGAGGGGCAACCGGGACAGAATCCGGCGCCCTGACTGGGACTAGAACCCGGTGTGCCGGCGCCGCTAGGCGGAGGATTAGCCTAGTGAGCTGCGGCGCCGGCCACAGGTCTTTTGATAAGGAGTATTTTGTAGTCTGAGCACTTAGACAAGTTTTTATTTAAGGGTGATGTTCAGAGTGTATTTTGTAGAAAATAATGTGCTAGAAATATGAACTGGTGGTGTATGCACATTTTTACTGGGAAATGTGTTTATTGTTAATTGGATATGCCTTATTTGGGAATCTTTCTTCCAGGTCAAAATTAATTGAAGTGAGTTCTGTTCAGCCCAACATTGCCAACTTTGGGAGGTCCCTGCTGGCTGGCTACTGCTCATCTTATGTGCCTGACTTTGTTCTTCAAGGAATTGGGAGTGATGAGAGGCTCCGGCAGTGTCTAATGTCAGACTTGTCTCATGCTGTGCAGGTAATAGCCATCTCTGTTCTTGAATTGATTTAGAATAAACTGATAACCAGTAGAACCCAGAGCTGCCATGTGTTCTTGGTCACACTTCACTGTTACACAATCATTCTTTGAGTGTGTCACTTCAAGTATAGCACTTGCATGTTTGTACTGAAGAACCAAAGTGACTCCATTTTTAAACAATAAAAAAAAGCAGCCTCCATTTCCCATTGCAGACCGGGGTCCTCGTAAAAGCAGGCATTCAGGCATTCCAGAGATATCAAAGCTTACCAGGGACAGCTAGCTCGGTAGACCAAGGACAGCACAGTAGAGACTGCTGAACAAAGTAACTCCCTGTGCCCAGAGCTTCCGTGCTGTATGTAACTCTTTTCCTGCTGATATAGCCCTTTTTTCCTTTAAAAACTCTCCCTAACAAAGACCGGGGCCTCACTCCTTCCTCTGCTGTGCCGGTTGGTTGGATGGGGTCCCTGTCACGGCTTGTACTCCCCAATAAACCTTGCTTTTGCAGTTAGGTGTGATCGACTCTCTGGGGGTCTCTGCGGGGATCTAACGATCTGGGCACAACCTACTTTTTGGTGCCCAACAGTACCTACACTGCGAAGGCAAGTAAGAGTTCCAGGAATGTGCCCAAATGGAAGATCTGAAATATAGCAAGTTCTTTATGTACTCATAGATGTTCATTGGTAGATTATTTATAACATTACAAAGTTGTGGTGCAGGCACTGTGGCACAGCGGATTAAAGCCCCAGCCTGCAGCAACAGCATCCCATATGGGCGCTGGTTCGAGTCCCGGCTGCTCCTATTCTGATTCAGCTCTCTGCTGTGGCCTGGGAAAGCAGTAGAAGATGGCCCAACTCCTTGGGCCTCTGAGCCCACATGGGAAACCCAGGAGAAGCTCTTGGCTCCTGGCCTCAGATGAGCTCAGCTCATCTATTCGATATAGCTCTGGCCTTTACGGTCATTTGGGGAGTGAACCAGCAGAATGGAAGACTTCTCTGTCTGCTGCCTCTCTCTCTCTGTAACTCTGTATTAGAATAAATAAAATAATTCTTTAAAAAAATGTGACTGTTTAAATGATAATGGGATTCTTAATTTCCCTTTGAAGTTATTTTTACTTACATAATAGAAGTACAGTTAAATTTTATATATTGTTCTTATGTCTTGTGACCTTGCTAAACTCTTTATTAGTTCTATTCCTTTTTTGTAGAGATCCCTTCAGTTTATTACTCATAGGCTCATGTCATCAGTGAGCAGTTTTACACCTTCCTTTCTCACCTAGATGCTTTTATTTATGTTTTCCCCCTGACCCAAACTGCATTAGTATAGTGTTGCATGGATGTAGTGACAGTAGATGTTGTTTTCTTATTCCTGATCTTAGGTGAAAATACTGAAGTTTTTTGTTATTAAGTATGATATTATTTTTTATTTTTTATTTTTTTTAACAGGCAGAGTGGACAGTGAGAGAGAGACAGAGAGAGAAAGGTCTTCCTTTTGCCGTTGTTTCACCCTCCAATGGCCGCCGCGGCAGGCGCTCTGTGGCCGGCGCACCGCGCTGATCCGATGGCAGGAGCCAGGAGCCAGGTGCTTCTCCTGGTCTCCCATGGGGTGCAGGGCCCAAGCACCTGGGCCATCCTCCACTGCACTCCCTGGCCACAGCAGAGAGCTGGCCTGGAAGAGGGGCAACCAGGACAGAATCCGGCGCCCCGACCGGGACTAGAACCTGGTGTGCCGGCGCCGCTAGGTGGAGGATTAGCCTAGTGAGTCGCGGCGCCGGCCCTATTAAGTATGATATTAGAAGCAGTGTTCTAATAGATGCCTTTTATGAGGTAGAGAAGTTCCTTTGTAGTCAAGGCTTTAGAGGGTTTTTTTCCCCTACTCTTTAAATCAGGAATAGGTATGGAATTTTGTCTGTTGATTTTGAGTATGTCTTTTGAGATAATCAGTGTTTTTTCTTTAAACTGTTAATGTCAGGATTACAATTGATTGATTTTTAGATGTTAAACTGTTGTGTTCCTGGGGGAAAATTCTGCTTTATCATGGAAATAATCGTTTTCCTGTGTTGTTGGGTTTGATTTACTAATATTTTGTTATAGATCTTGAAGTCTGTATTAATGAAGGGTATTGGTCTGTATTTTTCTTTATTTGTAATATTTTTGGCTATGATTTCAGGGTGATTAATATTGGCCATGTAGAAAGAATTGGGAAGTAGTCCCTCTCTGTTTTGTGGAATTGTTCATAGAGGAATGATACTATTTTTTTCTCTAAATGTTTGAAAGAATTCACCAGTGTTGCTTTCTGGGCCAGAAACTTCTAAAATGAGAATTTTTAACTGATAGTTCAATTTCTGTACTTTTTATACATGTACCTTCCACAATAAAACTTTCTCTCACACAAATACTATTATTACCCTTGTAAACACTTGACTCCTGTTTCATCAATTACATGTTTGTTTAATTGGCTATATGTTTTGATTTTATTCACAAGACTGCATAGTCTTCTGAGCTCCATTGTCTTCTTTCCATTAAGGAGTTTTATTCTGAGTGATTGTTTATTATCTGGACAAGGAATAAACTTTAAGGATGCCAGTCCTGGGCCATAGGAGCAACTCCTTATATTTAGTTGTATAACTATGGAAACAAGAAATGTTAGAGAAATATCCTTTGTGTACATGCTTGTGATAAAAACTTAAACAGTATAAAGATTTATAGAATAAAAAGTAGAAGTGCTTTACTGATTTGATAGTCCTATTTCTTCAGAGATCTGTATATTAAAAATCTTGATTTAAGTATTTGCATTCATTTTTCTGTATGTTTCCATGTAGATACAGAGTCTGAATTTGAAAAAAATAATAGCTGGGATAAAATTGTCTTTGTGTGTGTGTGTGTATTTATAGTGACTTGTGTTCATTTAGCACTGTGTCTTGGAAAACCATGTTAGTACATGTTAATAGGTCTCTATTTTAATTTTTGTACCCTGACTCTGGGTATATCCAGACATGTTCTGATAAAATAGAAAAATCTCACATCACCAACAAGATACTTTATGTTATCAAAGGATAGCCATATGGTGCTGAGACATTAATGTATGACAGCTTGGATTATTGACTCCATTGTGTGAATATGTCCTAATCTGTTTTTAAAATGCTTAAGGTCTTTGAAGCAAAAAAAAAGAAAATGTTTTCCAGTTACCTGGTACATATTTGACATTCAGTAAATTCATCACATAAATGATAGAATGATCAAAAGACTGATGGAAGTTAAGTTCTGGATTAATGAATACAGAGTTCTGTTAATGAATAAAAAGTCTGTACCTGTGATGATTTTTATAAGATATCTCAGTATTTGTTACTCATTTATTAACTATTCCATTCTTCTATCAAGGGTTCTTTAGCTATAGCTGTTAAAACTTAGTATTCTTTTTTTCTGTTTTTGTGTAGTATCCCTTCATAGCCTCATCCTATTTATCTTATCTTTGAAAACTTTGATTATCCTAAGATGTATTCTTCTTTTCTTTCCAGCATCCAGTGTTGGATGAACCAATAGCAGAAGCTGTCTGTATTATAGCTGATATGGATAAATGGACCGTTCAGGTGGCCAGTAGCCAGAGAAGAGTAACAGATAATAAACTGGGGAAGGAAGTATTGGTTTCCAGTCTTGTTTCCAACCTGCTTCATTCCACTCTTCAGCTTTATAAGCATAACTTATCTCCAAATTTTGTAAGTATGTGTAAGACTTGAACTACTTTAACCAGTCTGAAAGGTGACTGAACTACTTAATATGCTTGATTAATACTGTGGCTAGCTGCATCATCATTGTTTTCTGAAAGACTGTGTTATGGACTGAATGTTTGTCCAGCCTACCCTTTTCCAAATTCCCATGTTGAAGCCCCAACTTCCAATATGACAATTATTTGGAGATAAGAACTTTGGGAAGTAATTAAGGTTATATTATATCTTTTTTTTTTTTTTTTTTTTTTTTTTGACAGGCAGAGTTAGAGAGAGAGACAGAGAGACAGAGAGAAAGGTCCTCCTTTTCCATTGGTTCACCCCCCAAATGGCTGCTTCAGCTGGTGCGCTGCGCCAATCCGAAGCCAGGAGCCGAAGCCAGGAGCCTGGTCTCCCATGAGGGTGCAGGGCCCAAGCACTTGGGCCATCCTCCACTGCCTTCCCAGGCCACAGCAGAGAGCTAGACTGGAAGAGGAGCAACTGGGACAGAATCCGGTGCCCCAACCGGGACTAGAACCCAGGGTGCTGGCACCACAGGCGGAGGATTAGCCAAGTGAGCCGCGGCACCGGACATAATATATCTTGATGGTGGGCCCCTCAGGAAGGGATTAGTGGCTCAATGAGATGAGAACAAGGGAAATGAATTCACTTCTTAGTATGTGTTGACACAGTGAGTAGGCAGCCATCTCCTAAACTAGCAGAGATCCCTCACCAGAACCCAACTGTGTTTGTACTATGATCTTGGACTTCAAGCCTTTAGAAATGTGAGAAAATTAAATCTCTGTTATTTAAGGCACTAGGACTATGATATTTTGTTATAGCTGCCCAAGTCAAGACAGAAGGGGATTTGTATATGTGTATATATTCTGATTTTAGGAGCTATTTTTTTTGTTTTTTTTTGAGAGACAGATATAGACACAGCAAAAGAGCTCTCATGTCAGTTCATTCCTCAAACAGCTGAAACGGCTTGGAGTAGACAGGGTCAAAGCTAGAAACAAGGAACTCAGTCCAGATCTCCCACGTGGATGGCAGGGACTGAACTACTGGAGGCATCACTGTTGTCTCCTGGGGTCTGCATTATCAGGAAGCTGGAGTCATGGGAAGAGCTGGGTATCAAACCTGGACCCTCTGATGCAGGACATGGTATCTTAATGGACATCTTTACTGCTATCCCAAATGCCCAACTTTACAATCAGAATTTTTGATCCTGCAATATCTCCAAGCATTGTGTAGAATCCCAGGATGGTTTAGAACCCTCTTGGTCATGTCAGGACTTTGAGTGATCCCTCTTTGTAATCTCTTATTAAAGACATATTTCCAACTTTCAATATTCTTTCTCTTGCTAGGAGAATTACAAAATATCACAGTTGGAAATTCTGTAGTGATGATAAAGTCAGTTTATGACCAACCAATAGGTAACATCGTACTCAGTTGGGAAAGAATGGGAGCTTTTCCCCTAAGATGAGGAGCAAGACAAGAATACCCACTTTTACCACTTCTGTTCAACATGGGATTGGGAAGTCTAGGCCAGAGCAATTAGGCAAGAAAAAGAAACAAAAGACTTCAGAATTGGAAAGGAAGAAATAACATTATCTCTGTTAACAGATGGCATGATCTTATATATAGAAAACATAAAGATTCCACACACAAAAAAAAGATAGTGTTAATATGTAGATAGAAGAATTGCAAGATACAAAACACAAACATACCTATATACTAATGAGCGATATATAAAGAAATGAAGAAAAGTTACAGCAACATCAAAAAGAATAAGTTTAACCAAGAATGCAAAATATTTGTTACATTGAAAACTACAAAAACATTTCTCAAAGAAATTAAAGACATAAATAAAATGGAAACATAACCTATGTTTCTGTATTAGAAGACAATCTTATTAAGATGTCATTACTACCCAAAGTGATGTGCTGGTTGAATTCAACCCCTATAAAAACTTCAGTGACATAGTTTGCAAAAATAGAAAAATCCATCTTTTTTTTTTTTTTTTGGTTTTGTTTTTTGACAGGCAGAGTGGACAGTGAGAGAGAGAGTTACAGAGAAAGGTCTTCCTTTTTCCATTGGTTCACCCCTCAATGGCTGCTGCGGCTGGTGCACTGTGCTGATCCGAAGCCAGGAGCTAGGTGCTTCCTCCTGGTCTCCCATGAGGGTGCAGGGCCCAAGGACTATAAAAATCAAAACATTGTGATACTGGCATAAAGTCAGGCATTATATCCATGGAACAGATGTAGAATCCAATAATAAACCTGATAATAAACTTGACTGATTTTCAGCAAGGATGCGCAGACCATTCAGCAAAGAATCTCTTCAACAGGTTATGTTGAGTGCTTGACCAATGCTACCTAGGTAGCAGGGAATGGATGGAAAGTTGGGGGCAGTGGTAGAGGTCTTCCATTTGCTGGTTCAGTCCTTAAGTGGCTACAAAAGCCAGGTCTCACACTTGAGTGGCAAGGGCTGAGCACTTGGGCCATCTTCTGCTGCTTTTCCCATGCTATTAGCAGGCAGCTGGATTGGAAGTGGAGCATCGGGACATAAACCAGTGCCCATATGGGATGCCGACATTGTAAGCAGTGGCCGTACTTGCTGTGCCACAATACTAGCCCCTAATTATTTTTTTAAAAGAACTATAACTCAGCAGAAAACAAATCATCAAGTTTAGAAATGAGAAAAGAACTTGAATGGACAAATGGCCAATGAGGAATATGTTCAGGGATAGGTGTTTGGCACAGTGGCTTAGATGCCATTTGGAATGTCTGTATTCCCTATCAGAATGCCTGGATTGAGTTCTGATTCTGCTTCCAATTCCAGCTTCCTGTTAATGTGTACCCTAGGAGGCAGTAGGTGATGACTAAGATATTTGGGTCTTACCTCTTAGTTTAAGTCTGGCCTAGTCATGGTTTACTGCAGATATTTAGAGGAGTGGACCAGCTGATGGAAGATCTCACCTTATCTCTCTCCTCCTTCAAATAAAATGAAAATAAATAAAAAGTAATTCTAAAAGTATATGTTCAACATCATTTGATATTAGGGTAATACAAATAAAATCACAATACAATGCCTTTAGGGATGCCTATAAGGATGGCAATGGTTAAAAAAAAGCAAAAACAACCAAAACCAAATAGCAAGTATTGGCCAGGATGTACAGAACTGGGACCCCTCATGCACTGCTAATTCGAATATCAAATGGTACATGTGCTCAAAAATCTTAACATGTATGATCCAGCAATTTTATATTTATACTCCAAAAAATTTCAAGCAGACATTCAAACAGATAAATTTTATCCTAATGTTTATAGCAGCACTATTTACAATCACCAAGAGTTAGAAATAAACCAGCTGGAGGCTGATTTTATAGTGAGTTGAACCACTGCTTGCATTCCCACCTCCAAATTGGTCAGAATGGCAGATCTGGTCCTGACTACTCCACTTCTGATCCAGAATGTACCTCGGAACGCAATGGAAGTCCTGGGACTCCATGTGGGAGACCATGGTGGAGTTCCTGGCTCTTGCCTGGCCCTGATCTGGTGGTTGCAGCCATTTGGGGAGTGAATCAGCAAATGAAATGTCTATCTGTCTCCCCCCATCTCTCTTTGCCTTTCAAGAAAGTAAAAATAGGCCGGCGCCGCGGCTCACTGGGCTAATCCTCCGCCTTGTGGCGACGGCACACCAGGTTCTAGTCCCGGTTGGGGCGCCGGATTCTGTCCCGGTTGCCCCTCTTCCAGGCCAGCTCTCTGCTGTGGCCTGGGAGTGCAGTGGAGGATGGCCCAAGTGCTTGGGCCCTGCACCCCATGGGAGACCAGGAGAAGCACCTGGCTCCTGCCATCGGATCAGCGCGGTGCGCCGGCCGCAGCGCACTGGCCGTGGCGGCCATTGGAGGGTGAACCAAGGGCAAAGGAAGACCTTTCTCACTGTCCACTCTGCCTGTCAAAAAAAAAAAAAAAAAAAAAAAAAAAAGTAAAAATAAAACCTTAAAAAAATGACCCAAGAATCCAAAATCAAATGAATGAATACACAAAATGTGGTATAATATATAAAATGCAGTGCTTATTCAGCCATAAAAGGAAATGAAGTTTGGACACATGCCACAACGTGGATAAACCTCAGAAACATAAAGCTGAGTGAAATAAACCAGAAACAAAAGAACAGATACTGTGTAATCACACTTATGTGCAGTATCCCAAACAAGCACATACATCCAGTGGTAAGTAGAGACTAGGGGTGGTATAGATTGAGGTAGAGAGTTTTGTTTTAGAGTTTCTGTTTGGATTGATGAGAAAGTTCTATAAGTTAATGGTGGTAATGGTTTCTTAGCATTGTGAGTGCACTTAATACCACTAAATTATATACTTTAAAATGGTTAAATAGTAATTTAACCATTATGGTAAATAGTAATACATATTTTATATATACATATATTCTGTGTTAAGATTTTTTTCTTGGGGCATTTTTGGCCTAAGCAACATTGTGGAAGAAATATACACCACAAAACAGTAAAGTGAGCCAAGAAATCCATTGATTCAGTTGTATGTTTCCAGTAAGAAGGGTTTTCAGTATTGGAATGGTACACTGTGAATATTTAGTGTTTTAACACCAGAAACTCATTTTTTCTTAAACCTACCTAGCACTAATTAACATGAAAAACTGCCTGTTACTAAGTTGAGGAAGTTAACTGATGGTAAATAAAATTTATGTATTATATTTGATGTTCTAACTTAGAAACATCTTTCTGTAGGGTGTGTGGCATGGCAGGTAGAATTGCCACCTGTGATGGCAGCATATAATATGGGTGCTGGTTTGTGTCCTGGCTGCTTCACTTCTGAGCCATTTCTTTGCTAATGGCCTAAGAAGACAGCATTAAGATAGCCTAAGTGTGTGAGCCCCTGCAACCCACGTAGGGAGACCCAGCTGGGGCTCCTGGCTTCTGCATTGCTTAGTTCTGGCTGTTGTGGCCACCTGGGAAGTGAATCAGTGGATGGGAGATCTCTCTGTCTTTTCTTCAATCTCTTAACTCTGATTTTCAGATAGATAAATAAATCTTGATAAAACAAAACAGAAATCCTAGTTAGGACTGTGGAGCATTCCCTGAATTATTACAAAACAGCCTTTTCTATCAAAATACATTTAAAATGTATCGGGAGCCAGGTGCTTCCTCCTGGTCTCCCATGTAGGTGCAGGGCCCAAGCACCAACCGGGACTAGAACCCAGTGTGCCAGCGCTGCAGGCGGAGGATTAGCCTAGTGAGCTGCGGCGCTGGCCGGAATAAAATATTTTTAAGAGTTCTGGAAATGATTAGTGATGACTGTTGCATAACATTTAAATGTAGTTAATGCCACTGAAAGGTACACTTAAGAATAGTGCTTGGGACCGGCGCCGTGGCTCACTTGGCTAATCTTCCGCCTGCAGCGCCAGCATCCCATATGAGTGCCGGGTTCTAGTCCCGGTTGCTCCTCTTCCAGTCCAGCTCTTTGCTATGGCCCAGGAGGGCAGTGGAGGATAGCCCAAGTGCTTGGGCCCTGCACCTGCATGGGAGACCAGGAGGAAGCACCTGGCTGCTGGTTTCAGATTGGCACAGTGCACCGGCCATAGCGGCCATTTGTGGAGTGAACCACGGAAGGAAGATCTTTCTCTCTGTCTCTCTCTATCTCACAGTCTATATCTCTACCTGGCCAAAAAAAAAAAAGTTAAAATGGTAAATTTTATGTTACGTGTATTTTAACACAATTTAACAAACACTATAGAAGGTAATTTTTATATGAACCAGAAAAAGGTTATATATTCCTTTTTAGCTAAAACTATGTACTTTCAAAACGTGTCCCAAATTTTTTACTTTATTTTGGAGTAGCTAGATAGAATTGCACCACCAAGCCTTGGAATTTGCTTTTACTCAGAGTCTGATACCGAGTTCTGACTGCTTCTTGGTTTTTTTCTGTAACTGCAGTGTGTAATGCATCTTGAAGACCGGTTGCAGGAGTTATACTTCAAGAGCAAAATGCTGTCTGAATATCTGAGGGGGCAGATGCGTGTCCATGTCAAGGAGTTGGGAGTAGTTCTTGGGTATGTGTGTTCCTAGTTTTTTTTATGGCTTTGTTTTCTCTTATGCAAGGACTGTTTCTCAGATTTCCCTTCTTTTTAAGTGCCTTTACCTCATAGAAGCTGGACATTGTTAACATTTAGATTGCTCTATCATAAGCAGTCTCCTTATCTGCCACTCATTTGCAAGGCCTTATTCCTTGTGCCATTACATACAATATATTGAGAATATAGTCAGAATGAATTAAAATATAAATTTTTTTAAGAAAAATAACAAAATACTAATTTTTGTTGATCGGATATTGTAAGCTCATTATTCCAAGCATCTGTCCTGGTTCCACATGAGCCTACTGAAGTAAAACTACTCTGTGGATGGTATAATACATCATCTACATACTACTGCTTATTCCCCCTTATCTACATATATCTGTCTAATCTGCAGTTACTCTTCAGAAGGAAGCAACTATCTAAAATGCTAACTGAAAGAGGACTGGGAAATCTGACCAAGGAGGGGCAGAGTGTAACCCTATTTCAGTGTATTGTAGTCACTTACGTTCTGTGACCACTTTTTGTGGATCTGAATCACTTCTTGAAATGCTTGTTGAAGAAATTAATATGATAGAACTTTGTGTAATTCAGCTTTTAAGGGAAAAGTAACATCATTTAGAACCTACTGCATTTCAGAAACCAGATTACTTTTATTGGTGGTATTCCTTAATTATTAGTCATCCTGTAGTATATCATCAGTTCCATTCATATTGGGAATGGATGATTTAATAATTTAACGTGTCAGATATCACACACCAGTAGGGATTTGAATGACTCCCTATCTTTCTGACTACAGATCCTGTTTATGTATCATGATACCACACTGTTGTTCAAGTCCTAATGAGGCTTTTGACTTAAGGAGTACATACAGAATGATTCTCTAATGTTTGGGAAATCAGTAGCAGCATATAATCTTGGTTTTCTTGGGGTGGGGGGGAGAGAAGAAGAGATAAAGATGACAGAAGGAATTTAATGCCTTTTTTTAAAAAAAAAAACTTTCAACTAGCTTTTATAATAAAGCTCACAGTGTATATTGATATAAAATGAAAAGTAAATTGTTGTCTGCTGCTCAGCTTCTAATCTCCACCCAAATACTGTTAACAGATTACTTGTTCTCACAGAAATTTTCATGTATAACATAAATAATACAATTGGTTTATATTCTATAAGTCATTTGTAATTTACCTTTTAATGAATTTTTAATGTTCATTCAATGTGTACATACTGATCTATTCCCATTCTTCTCAATGGCTGTATAACAGAAAATTGTATGTTGCAATTTGGGTTATTTTCAGTTTTTTGTTATTGTTAACCAATGCTGGAATGAATATAAGTCTTTGGTATTTGGAGACAATTCCTTAAATATAATTTTTGGCTATGGACATGTATGTTAAAATTTTTGTAGGTACTTTGGTAAATAATACCAAGTGTTACATGGACAATGCCAGTTTCCACCAACAATGTGGGAACACTGTAATCACTACTGTTACCAAACTTTTTAGTATATGCTTAAGTATTAGCTGAAAAGTAGCTAATTCAAATTTCTCCAAACATGAGTTAGTCTGAGTAACCTTTTCTATGTTGATTGGCTATTTTTCTTTTCCTGTAGATTGTGTATAGGATGTATTTTTAAAGAAGCTTCTGTTACTTCTTCCAGTTTGTCTTATTATAGAAACATTTTATCCAAAACAGGCTAGGTACACACAGTTATTCTATTATTGTACTAGATTGTAATTTTTAGATGCTGTGCCTTGCCCAGAAACATGGTCCATCATCAGGTCAGTGAGATGCTTTCCTGCACTGATGAGTTTGTTACCCTTGAGTAGTTTCAGAAGCTTTGTTTCTTCTTTTTCTTTTTTTAATTTTAAATCTTTGGGTTTGTTTTTTGCTTACTTAAAAATTACAACTTTGGTTATCTTCGACTCTTTGACTCTGTTCCTTTTGGCCAGGATAACCTCTTACTGCTCAAGTGTAATGATGTGACTGGAAGTAGACATTGCCTGTGGGAGTTCTGTTTTAGGTAGAAAATGCCTGAACTGAGATTTTCGTTTCCTCATTTCAGGATTGAATCCAGTGATCTTCCTCTCCTGGCTGCTGTAGCAAGCACTCACTCTCCTTATGTTGCTCAGATACTCCTTTAACATGCGTAAAGGTTAACTTTGGTGGAAAGATAAGTAGAATCCAAGGAGGCAGACACAAAATGTATTTGTGTGGATTTGTTCCTGTTACACTTTCGTCTGGATGAACAGTCACCTGGGTATTAGGTGTTTCATTGCTTATCCGTGTACATTGGATGGTTCTTTTTAATGGGACTTGGGGTTGGTGGGAGATTTTTAACCAAGTGAAACTAAAGTAGCATAAATAATTTTGGGGCAAAGCACTTGAAAAAGCCAAAGTGTAACATAGAAATTTCTACAAAATGTATAGCATCAAGGGATTTCGTATGATCACTATGATGTCCCAGTTCATAAATATCAACAGATATCTCATGATTAACTGGCTCAGAAATTTTCAATAGTTTTAAATTTTTTATTTGTAAGGTACAGAAATCTATAAAACCTTGATTATTTATTTTGTTTTATAATTCAAAGCAGTTAATTTCTGGTTGTTTCTGAAAGTAAGTTAAACAGCCTATTATAACAAACTCAGAATAATTAGTGTAAATGTGCGTTATGTTATCCACCTAAGTGTACATATGTATCTATTTTTTTAAAAAGAAGAAATAGAAATACATGATTGGTAAAATATGCCTTTTTAAAAAATGTTTTCAATCAGTATTATTGTAATGTTTAAATGTTACTATCTGATGATTTTTCTGTTTCACACACTCTATAAGTCAAACCAATCTTTTATAAGGCTGTAGAAGGTAGATTCCCAAAATACTACTACTTTATACTGTTTGTGAGCTAATTCTTATTAATACTTACATATTCACTAATTTAATAACTGAAAATTAGGATTAAAAATTGCTCCATAGCATTGGAAGAAATAATAATATTTTCTTTAAAAAGTGCTCAGGAAGCCAAGGCCCTTTTTTCAGTATCAGCCCTTCTTGAACCCACAGGAGCCAAATATTTGTTTGAGTGCTCAATTATATTCAATTTACACTAACAGAACTCATGACTCTTAAAATTTTTCTTTAAGAGCCCCTGTCTTCCAGAAGCTGGTTTCTTTCATAGATTTCCATTTTTCAATTGCTGTCTCTGTATACTATAGATTATTGCTTGTAAGAAAGGCTAATATGGAACCAAACTTGTGTAAGTAATGTAAATAGAAAGATGGGTAGGTAAAGTTTTCAATATGCTCTACTACCTCAGTTTACTTGAATACTACATTGTAGTTTGTTCTTTGCTTTTCTGGTCTAAGATAGTTTCACTGCTAGAAGTAAAGTTGGTTTCTGCTTTCATTTACTGTTATTTTCATAACTGATTAAGAAATCTACTTCCTTATTTAGTTACTTAAATACATTTACTGTATAACACACCGATTCTTGCTATTTAAATTTTTAGTAATTAATGGACAATTTCTGTGATGTCTTTAGTATTTGACCTTGATTTTATAGCATTGGGTCACATTTTTGCCCTCTCCATGGGTATTCAAGAGATCTCCAAGTACACAAAGAAAGTGTTGATGTAATGAAATGTAAACCTGAAGTCGGTGTGCCTGCAGTGTTTTTGATCTGTTTCCTATTAGCTTGTCCCAGTTAGTACCTGAGTCTCCCATGGATGACTTAGAGCCAAAGTGTGTTTATAGATATTTTTTCTTTGGCTTAATTTAGTTATTCATTAACAGAATTCTTCTGTAACCTGTTTTTAGAATTTTGTGAGTCAGTTGCTGGCCGAATTCAGGATACAGAAAAATCCATATGTCCATTAAATACTATTTTTTGATTGTAGCTCAGTATAATATGTAGCAGCTAGATAATGTCTATTTCTGGGTATTTTCTTAACCATGAAACTATTCTCAGTCCTATTTGTTTGAAATGTCTAATAAATGACCACTTAGGAATTCTAGTCTTGGTAAGTGGATGGCTCATGCTATTGATACTCTTAAAAATAAGCTTTGCAGGGGAGGAAAAAGTGTATAGTTTCTTCAAGAATCATTAATCCTTATAGGATTCCTAAGTTTTATAATTCCTAACCCTTCTGTAATTTCTGGTACCTTCCTCATAGTCATTTTTTCCTTATACAAAGCCCAAGGAGTGAGCTGCTGCTTCTTTAATATATAGTCGTTATGATGAGTGTGAGAAGAATTTTGACCCATATGAAATAATTTTTTCATTTTCTTATGGTACAGACAGATATGGGTTACATATCAAAAAAAATCCTGTTTTGTTACAACGGGGTATGAAAAAGGGATCTTTTACATTTTAGAATTAAAACTAATTTTTCCTTGTATATAAACTAATTGGTTTGCTTTTAAATATTCCTGACATTTATTAATATGTCTTAACTTTGAGTTTGAAAATGTTAAGTGCAATAAACATACTAGTACTGATTTCATTTTGTTGCAGTTGGCATATTCTGGGGATGATTACTAAAAAAACCAATTTTACATAATGCCTACTTTTGGAATATGTCTTATGAAAATGTTCTGCTTTCTCTAAGTTATTTAGATGGTGGATATGTAAAATGTACATATTTGTTCCTTGTTCTGAATACATTTCTCAAATGTATACCTGTATTATAATAACCTCCCAGTTCTGGGGGGAAATTTGTGCAATAAATATACATGTCAATTTGATGGATTGATGGTCTGTCTTTCATACACTGATGATAAGGTCTTTGTAACATGGATTCTGATGTCAGACCACCTGGTTTCTAGTCCCAAGTTAGACATTTCTGAGCCTGTAACTTTTCCAGAAATATTGGTAGAATCTACTTCATGAGGTTGTAGGAATCAAGTGAAATAAAGAATGTCAAGAATTTAGCCTACTGGTGGACATTTAGCCTAGCAATTAAGATGCTAGTTAGAACACCTGGATTCAATCCCTGGGTCTGGCTCCTAACTCCAGCTTCCTGCTGCTGCGGACTCTAGGAAGAAGTGTTGATAGCTCAAGTGGTTGGGTTCATAGAAGACGTGAATTGAGTTCTTAGTTCCTGTTTTCTGGCTTCAGCTTCACCCAGTATCAGGCCAATACATGCATTTGGGGATGTGAATTTATCTGGAGGATGGGCTCTCTCTTTCTCTTTGCCCTGCTGCCCTCTCTCAAAATTTAAAAAAAGAAAGAAACCAAAAAGATTTTAGTTAGTGCTAACACATCCCAAATGCCAGATAATTTTCTGGTTGCTGCTGTTATTAGATAATCTGTCTAGCTTTTCGTCAATAGCCCTTACCTATGGTTAGGAGAATTTGGAATGAATAAAATCATAATAACAAAAAAGTACTGGTGGAGCCAGTGCTGTGGTGCATCGGGTTAAAGCCCTGGCCTGAAACGCAGGCATCCTATATGGGCGCCGGTTCTAGTCCTGGCTGCTGCTCGTCCGATCCAGCTCTCTGCTGCGGCCTAGGATAGTAGTGGAGGATGGCCCAAGTCCTTGGGCCCTTGCACCCGCATGGGAGACCTGGAAGAAGCTCCTGGCTCCTGGCCTTGGATCGGCACAGCTCCAGTCATTGTGGCCATCTAGGGAGTGAACCAGCAGATGGAAGACCTCTCTGTGTCTCTACCTCTCTCTCAAATAAATAAAATAAATCTTAAAAAAAAGTACTGATGTATTCTTAAACCTGATCTATTTATCACAGTGACAAAATGAAAATTTATTTAAATGCTTTTATGAAAGCAAACACCCCAGTCAACTGAAACTAGAGGAAGCCATGTAAAGCTGTTAAGAACAGTGTATCTAGGGGTAGATATTGTCACAGGGGTTAAGACACTGCTTGAGCTGCCTGCATCCCTTTTCAGAGTGTCTGAGTTCGAGTACCAAGTCCACTTGCAATCAAACTTCCTGCTAATGAATCACCACTGAAAGGTGATGGCTGTGATGGCTCAAGTATTTGGATCCCTGCCTTCTACATGGAAGACTGGGATTGCGATCAGGGCTCCTGGCTTTGGCCTGCCCAGCCCCAGCTGTTGCAGGCATTTGGCCAGTAAACTGGCAAGGTGAAAGATCTCTATTTTTATCTTTCTCAGTCTTCCTACCTCTCAAGTAAGTAACAATGGTTAAAAAGAATATTGCATCCAATACAAATTAGTATAGTATTTGCAAATTAAAAAATCGGCAGATTGGTTTCGGTTCTAACTGTAGTTTGTTCACTGAATTGCATATGACTTTGAGCATGTGAATCTGTCCTTGTCATCTGCATTGCAGGAAAGTCAGTTTTTCCATCATCCCTTAGTGCATCCACCCTGATTAGGCCTATTAGGAAGCAGCCTTCCTAAGGCTAGTTTAAAGATTTTTTTTTTTTTTTTTTTTTTTTTTTTTGAGAGAGAGAGAGAGAGTTACAGAGAGGAGGAGAGACAGAAAGGTCTTCCATCTGTTGATTCACTCCCCAAATGGCCACAGCTGGTGGAGCTGAGCCAATCCGAAGCCAGGAACCAGGAACTTCTTATGAGTCTCCCACATGAGTGTAGGGGCCCAAGCACTTGGGCCATCTTCCACTGCTTTCCCAGGCCATAGCAGAGAGCTAGATAGGAAAAGGAGCAGTCAGGACAGGAAGTGGTGCCCATATGGAATGCCAGTGCCACAGGTGGAGGCTTAGGTTACTATGCCACAGCGCCGGCCACAAAGTGCACTTTTTTAAAGCAGAGAAGTATCAAGTATGGAAGCAACTATCAGTTATTTTAGAGGTTTATGATTGGTTCCTGTGTTTATTGTGCTTTTACTACATTACTTTAAGAAATCTTGCAACATTTATGAGAAGCACAAAGGTCTGATGATGCTAATGAAAAAATGAGGCACAGAAAATATGATTATCTGAAGTAATACAGTCCTTATTATATAGTCCAAATGTCTTTCAGACCAGAATGGTTTCCCACTAATATGTGGTGACAGATGTATTGTAAAGATACCCAGGATTTCTTCATTTGTCTTTGCTACCGTGGAAGGTAGCAGTAGGGTGTAACCCATGTGGGAGACCCAGATGAAGCTCCTGGTTTTGGCCTGGCCCAGCCCTGGTCACTGTAGCCATCTGGGGAGCAAACCAGTTGATGGAAGCTCACTCTCTTTTTCTCTCTGTGTTTTCTTCTCTCTGTAACTTTCAGATAAATAAAATCTTTACCAAAATAAAATTAAAAACTGAAGCAGTTCAAAAATTTTTTCAGAGAATGTGTGAAATTCCCACCCAGTATTTGTTATGGGAACTTCAGCACTTTTGGTCTTAAAGCATATGTTCAGGTAAGAGTACCCCTTTTCCCCCAAGACCCAGGAAGGTAATTCTCTCTAGCACTTTTCTTTGTTATTTAAGCTTTTTTTTTTTTTTTTTAAGATTTATTTATTTGAAAGGGTTAAAGAGAGAAAGGGAGTGAAAGAATCTTAGATCTGTTGGTTCACTCTTCAGATGGCCATAGTGGCCAGCGGTGGGCTGGACTGAATCCAGGAGCTTCATCTGAGTGGCAAGGCCCAAACAGTTGGGCCATCTTCCGCTGCTTTTACCAGGCCATTAGCAGGGAGCTGGATGAGAAGTGGAGCAGCCGGGACACGAATCTGTGCCCATATGGGATGCCAGCATCACGGGCAGCAGCTGTACCTGCTATGCCACAGTGCTGGCCCCTATGTTTAGTCTTTGTTTTTATTTATTTGAAATGCAGACAGACAGATCTCCCATGTGCTGGTTTTCTCCAGTTGTCCAGAACAGCCTTTTCGCTGCCAATAGCTGTAGAGTTTTCACTGGCCCCTCACTTTTTTCAGTATACAGCAGCATATCAGAAGATGGTAAAGGACAAGACATTTGTTTAGATAGGGACAGTCACCATAGATTTATTATAATGTTTCTGCTATCTTATGATAAAGCCAACTAAACAATTTATTTTGCACACTGAAGTAATTTTCTCTTATGAATATACAGAAAATGAATAAATATGCACTTGTGTAACCATTACCCAGGTCAGTTAAGTAGATAATTTTCAGCAATCCGGAAACCTGCTCTCCCTTGTGCCCTTCCTGATCATAACCCCCTACTTTCTCAATTTTGTAACTACCAGCCTAACTTTGATGATCATTTCCTTGCTTTCTCTTTGTACTTTTGCCTCTGTATTTGAATCTCTGATATTTTAATTTTGCTTGCACTCTGTATTTTTACATTCCATATTTTCTGGGTGTTTTTTTCTATCATCATTACGTTGAAGAGTCATCCATGTGCTATGTAGCCGATATTCCACTGAATGAATATAGCACAGTTTACCTATTGTGGTATTGGTGAGTATTTGGGTTATTAATGGTTTTACACTACTGACTTAGCTTTTCATTATCTTAACTGAAATACCTAAGAAGAACTTCTTAGTTTATTTTGACTTAACAGTTTGTGGGTTTGGAGTCCAAGACTGCGTAGTCCCAGTGGTTTATGCATCTGGGTCAGAGTATGGCAAAAGGGATGATCAAATGGCAAGAAGTGGAGAGAGACAGGAAGCATGCTCAGCTTACACGACCCTGTTGCAAGAATTACCTTCTGAGGAGGGGTTCCCAGTGACCTGAAGACCTCCCACCAGTCCCATGTCCCAGATGCCATAAGTAGATAAAAGTACCTTATTCCATTAGTCATTAACATCAATCTACTAACCATCAACCCACGATTTAAGGCTTATCCATCTACATGAGTTTGGAGATCCAAATACTGTTGAAATGTAGTAGCTACACTGAACATTTTCTCCATCTTTCCTGGTGTATATAAGACGTTGTTAAGGACAAAAGGAGTGAGCTCGCTTCATTGGGTGCGTTCAGTTTTAGCTTTACTAGCTACGTTTTTCCTAATTAAAACTTAACTGTCAGTTGGGGAGAGTTTCCTGCCCCACATCTTCCCAGATACTCTTTTTCTAAAATAAATACATTTTTTAAAACTATATCCAATTCTTCAAAGCTGAGGTTCTGGAAATAGTGGTGTTTGAATTGTGAATCATCTCACAATCCTCAAAGATTCTGGAAAACATAGGCTTTACAATTCCCGTTTTATAGATACTGCAACTTTAGTTCAGAAACAGTTTCATCAAAGCAGTTACCTAGAAGGGACCTAAGTTACACAATCAGGTCTGTTTGCCCCTTAAGTTCCTGGTGATTATGTTCTAGTTCTTGTTCCCCCTTTCAAAGTATTGGCGTGATTCAGAAACCGGCCGCTGAAGAATGGAAGATAACCTCTGTGATGCCGGCCAGAACTTTGAGAGCATTTGTTTATCCGTTGCGCGCGCGCACACACACACACACAGACACACAGGAAAATGGTCAGCTGCAAGGCCTTATGACTTTCTCTTTTTGGGTAGCTGAACCACAACTTCCCCGGTAAGGATTTCTGCCCTGCACTGCGAAGAAGAGATGTGCTAATACATATGTCGTAAACTTTCGAGTTCGGGAAAGCCGTGGCCCCGGGTGAAAAACAGCCCTTGTTGACGTCGGCCGCAGGAATGGTCCGTTCCCTTTTACTGCGCTAACACACTTCGGTTCTTACCGCTGTCCATCAGTCATTAGTTGAAAAGCCCAAGTATAAACCACTTCTTGTTAGCGAACCTCACGAATGTGGTGGAAACAGGGAGATGCACGTCGATGCCACAGCCCTCACGGGGCTGACATCCGGCGGGAACGCCCGACGGAGGGCGCTGCGATGGGCCCTGGGAGGGCCAAGAAATAAACCAAAACTGGCTTGATTCAGTGCGTTCGGAAGCGAACTGGAAAGCCAGCTCTGGTGGCCAAGCGGCCACTCGTTGAGTGCAAGCCACGTTGGGCCCAGAGGCCCGAGGGAGGGGACGACGGTCCACATCTGCCTTCGCGAAGCCGCGATTCGGCTCCGAACACCGCGCCTTTCTGCGAGAAGCCTGCACTAGAGGGTTGGCTTTATTAAGAGACATAACGATGGCTGCACACGGACTTCCCCGTTTGCCGGAGCGCGCTTCCGCTTCCGCACATTCTCCAAAGGGCGCGTCAAAGCGGCAGAGGAGGAGCTCGGAGCCGCTTCCGCCTATGGGCTCAAACAAGTCTCGCCACACAGAACGCCTGCCCCACAGCTTTGCCCCAACATGCTATTTTCGCGGAGGCCTTCCTTCGCTGCAAGTTTCCTGTCCCTCCACCGGAAGCTGGCGAGGTGGAACCCACAACTTTGAGGCAGATCTCGTGATGGGTTAAGTGAGGTCTCGCGAGGTGTCTAAGTCTCACGAAGGATTGGAAAAAGCCCAACTGCACCGCCCCAGTTCTTACGTCACCACCGGGCGCTTGTTAACGACCGGGCGCGTACTGCGCAAGCGCACTCGCCCTCCCTCGCCCCCGCACGGGCTTCTTTCTGGCCAGTCGCGCGTGGGCTGAGGCCCTGGGCGGGCGCTGCGAAGGGTTGTTTGCTTGAGCTCGGACCCCGCGACTGTCTGGTGTTCCCTCTCCTTGCGGGGTGGGGGGAGCCCCTACCTAGGGTGAATGGGCGGCCGCTTGGGCTGGTAAGGACAGGCCGGGGAGCACGGGGTCCGCGGCCATGAACTCACCCGTAGACCCCGGCGCTAGGCAGGCGCTGAAGAAGAAACCGCCAGAGCGGACCCCTGAGGTAAGATGTGGACTGTGGCGCGCGCCCCGCCGTCCAACGCCCGGCGTACCCCTGGGGTCCGGAACCAGCGGGGACGCGGTTTGCTACTGCTTCGCACCTGCTGCTGGTTATCTGTTGTCGGTGTCCCCCGGCCCTGACCCGGGCCCTTGTCGCGGTCTTCGCCGGGGACTTCCTTGAACATTCCGTCAGAAAGCCCCGGTGCTGGGAGAAGTTTAGGTCTCGGAGGCTGCTCCTCCATCGAGGTGGGCTGGGAACAACCAGGTAGAAACTGAGCTGTAACAGCCAGGTGGCTTAGTAATAACTTCCCTTTAACAGTTTCTGAAGGGTCCCGTTGCCTGGGAAAAAAAGCTTTCACAGTCCTTGGAAGACTTTGCAGTCAGGGGATGAACTCCGTGGTGGATGAGGCATGCGTAACAATCACTTGTGTAGGTAGTTTCTCAGACTGGAAGAGGGAAGTTTTACAGTATTCTGTGCTTGAATCCAGAAGTTACTGTTTGGGTTTAGCGGTGATGGCATCATCTTGAAAGATTTCCATTTGCCCCGAATGCTAGTTTCCGGGCACTTACCTGTCAGCTTTGCATATCCCGGTACTTGGGAAGTGCTTAGGGTTGGGAGGCGAAGGTGTTACTGACTCGGACGTCTCCAAATGAACGGTGTGTTTCCTAAGCCAAACTAACAGCAATTTCAGTGGGTGTTTATAGTTGCAACAGATGAATTAATTGCTTTAATTCTTCTTACGTGACTTTTGATTTTCAGACTTAGTGTTTTTTGCATGGTTAAGTCTCAGTAACTTCCGGCTGCCCTTCTGGTATGTGACTTTATTCAGGCCATAAATGAAGCTGTGATAGGTCAGACTTTGTTATGAGAAACCTCACCCTTGCAGTAAGAGCAGGAACTCCTGCCACTTTTCTGGAGTACTCCTTGTGACTTGGAGTTGTAATCCCCTGTGAAGATTCTTGACGTTAATGTGAGCTAAGTGAAAGCATTCACTTTGACCAGGTGAATTTCCCCCATTGATTTTATATGGTTAGACAGTGTCACACAAGGCTTACAATGTAAATTGTACATTTTCCTTTTAAATATTATGTATGCTAAAGTCATATTTTAGTGAGAAAAATTCTGCTTTAATGGTAGAGTATCTACTTTGAAATTGCCAGTATTTTATTTTAGCCTTTGGAAATTTTCTAAACTGGTCAGAGTTCTGTTGGCCAGTGTGTGCTGTATTGAGTACTTTATCTCATTTTACAGGAACAGCAATCAAGAGAATACCAAACCACTGCCCCGGGTATCATACAAAATAGAGCCCTGACATCTCACAGATGAACGTGTTAGCTGCTTGATTCATTGATGATCCTTTTGTTTGAGTGTTTGAGGATACACGGTGTGAACAAGGAGATGGTGACCTGAATCCTAGTGATGATTTGTTTGTGATACATAATTTAATGAAATTCTCAGATTCATTTCTGTTTTCACAAGATCACTGCTCTTTTGGTGGACTCTTAGAGATTAACTATAAATATATTAATTGAATAACATTTAGAGCTTAGTAGCTCAAGGTGCTAATCTAGGTACTAGGATGTATCAGTAGACAAAGCGGGCTTGTCTTAGTGGTAGTTACTTTATGATGGCGCAAGATGAAGAGAAGGCAGATGATAATTGTTAGCTAATAATCACTTTAAAAAAAGGCAGAGTAAGCAGATTTGGAAGCAAGGGGGCAGGAGCTGGGTTGTATTTTAAATAAGGTGGTTGGTGGTCTCTTGATTGAGAAGGACTTTTGATCAAAGACTTGATGCACGTGATGTAATTGGCTATGGAGGTTTTTGGGGAAAGAACCTAACAAAGCAAATAGTTGTTGCAAAAGTGCTGTGATGAGAATCTATCTCAATACTTTGCAGATAGAACAAGGAGCACTGAATAGCGAGTTAGAGGGGTGGGGAGCAGGAAGCTAGAGGTTCTGCATTGAGTCAGGTAAGAGATGATGGGGACTCTGACTGAAATTGATAGTAACGGAAGTGGTGAGAACGGCCACGTTTTGGAAGTATTTTGAAGATTGGATAAAGCATGATTTCAAGGTTCTTGGCCAAAGTAACAGTAGTGTTAGGCTTCAGAGAACGTGAGCTGCCACCAAAGGGAGAAAGCTACAGGGCTGGGTTTGTGGAGGAAGATCAGAAATTTGATTTTGGACATGGTAAGTTTGGCATGTCAGAACTATCAGGTAAGGAGTTGTATAAACAAATTTTATTCTAACAGAAACCTGGGATGGAGATAGAAATGTACAGTCATTGGGCTTATTGGTGATAATTGAAGTCACGAAGCTGAATCAAGTTTCCAAGGCAGTGAGTGCACATGGAGAATAGGGGAAGACAAAGGTAGATAGTGCCCTGGGGCACTGGGACACTATCAGATGAGGGGCAGAAACCAGCACAAAGTGGGAGGAAACAGTGCAGTAGGAGAGAAACCAAGAGTGGTGATGTCCTGGAAGCCAGGTTAATAAAGTGTGTGGTAGAACAGGATAAATCTATTCAACTCAATCTGTTCTGCTTAATTTTCCAGAAGTACCTCTTTGATGCAAAACATTAAGAAATATATACTAATAGGCCAGCACTGTGGCTCACTTGGTTAATCCTCCGCCTGCGGCACTGGCATATCATATGGGCACCGGGTTCTAGTCCCGGATGCTCCTCTTCCAATCCAGCTCTCTGCTGTGGCCCGGGAGGGCAGTGGAGGATGGCCCAAGTGCTTGGGCCCCTGCACCCCCGTGGGAGACCAGGAGGAAGCACCTGGCTCTGGGCTTTGGATCTGGCTAGACCTTTCTCTGACTCTCACTGTCTAACTCGGTCAAATAAAAAAAAAAAAAAGGAAATATATACTAATAGATAGGAATCAGAGTCATATAACTTGATAATCAGATTTTTTGGATTGTATAATGAGTAAAGAACTCTGTGTTTTTCTTTTTTTTACAGGCAGAGTTAGGCAGTTAAAGAGACAGAGAGAAAGGTCTTCCTTCCGTTGGTTCACCCCCCAAATGGCTGCTACGGCCGGTGTGCTGTGCCAATCTGAAGCCAGGAGCCAGGTGCTTCCTCCTGGTCTCCCATGTGGGTGCAGGGCCCAAGCACTTGGGCCATCCTCCACTGCCTTTCCGGGCCAAGGCAGAGAGCTGGCCTGGAAGAGGAGCAACTGAGACAGAAGCCGGCACCGCAGGCGGAGGATCAGCTTAGTGAGCCTTGGCGCTGGCCAGAACTCTGTGTTTCTAAAGCAGAATTAATGATTCCTTTATTTTGAAGCAGGTGAAACTCCATTCAAGGCATAATCCTAGTGAGCCAGACACTGTGTGTTGTAGAGTGTGCTATCCTACTGCTGTTTTCACGTTCCTAGCCACCTCTGCTTTATGAATCCGGATTCCAGAGCACATTGGCTTTCCAGAGCCAGTTCTCTGATTATCGCTCTTTGCTTTTTAAAAAGATTTTCTTATGGGAAATTTTGGACTTAAATACTCCATGGGATGTTAAGTGCTCTAAAACAATACAAACTGTTAAGGTACTCATTTTGGGTCCTTGTACCAGAACCACTTACAGAAGCCACAGGCAAAATTGAGACCTTGAATTTGGCAGTTTCTTAACTCAGTCTCTGTTAAATACTGTTCTTTCTCTGTAGCCATTCTTTACATCAGAGTGAGCTACTTAAATTTCTCTTAGGATTACTTCCCTTTTTGTGCTTAAAATCACACTACACGTATACTGAGTGAGCAAATAGGGTTTTTTTGAAAATTTTTTTCTGTAGTTGTTTTCAGCATACTATTTATTACTATAAAGAGATTTCATGACTTTTATAGGTGCAGATCTAAGATAACTGCACTTCCTCCCCTCCGCCAGACCCCCTCCCTCCTTGCTTTCTTTTCTTGAGTTTTTGCAAAGACATAATTTGAGTCCCCTCTATCATCACAGGCTTAATTTGGGACTGTATTTTGTAAAGTCCTCATGCATTAAAAAGATAGTACTTTCTATTCATCAGAACTGCTGATTGTACTTTCCAGACAGTCTTATTCAGCAACTTGGCCTCATTTAATTTTTACAGGCTGACACCTGGCTCTGTATATTGCAGCTTCCTTTTATGTGCTTCAGGTCCTTATATCTGTCTACCTATTGGTTGTCCTCTAGGTTCTTCAGCCCCTTGCCCTAAACTGAAATCATTGTTATTCCCCCTGCTTAATGGCTTTTAGGTTGCTGGACTAGTTGCTGTCTATTTATATTTTGATTTTCTCTGGTGTGTTCAGTCTTTATTCATTTGGCCTCTAAGCTTTGTTGATTTTACTTCCTGAATTTTTTGTGTGTCCCTTCTTCCCACTTTTATTTTAGTCCATGATTTTTTTTTTTCATTTCTACCACTGGATTTTTGCTTGAGTCCTTTTATTTATTGTCAAATTGTTGTTAGAGTGATTCCTTATACTCAGCTCTGATTGTGTTTGTCCTTGCTCAGAATTATTGCCCACTGCCTAGAGAAATAGTGTATTAATCCAAATCATTTTTGGAAGCTATTAGTATTTATGCACAAAATAACAGGATTGAGAGGGATTGTCTTAGGTGAACTGAAATGTGTAGTTACCTTACCCAAATGATAACATCGTTTTATTTAAGATGGAATACATCATATGTGATCCTACTTTTGAGGCGAGCATTTGGTGCAGCAGTTAAAATGCTTGTTAGAATGCCTGATTACAGATCAGAGTGCCTGAATTTGAATCCAGGCTCTGCTTCTACTCTAGCTTTCTACTCACACCTGGTTGTTGCACACATCTGAGGAGTGAAACAGCAGATGGAAGATGTCTGTGTCTCTGCCTTTGAAATAAATTAAAAATACATTTTAGAAGACAAAACCCAAGGTTGTAGAGAGAAACTGGAAATAGTCCCTCTTTTTCAGTTAATTGAGACAGACATTAAAATATAAGTGCAGTAAAATGTTAAGGTTATTAATGATAAAGATATGAACAGGGCTTTGGGACTGCAAGGTGGAGAAAGGAAAGACTTCTTGGGGAATGTTGATTCAGTCTTAACTATCATGACTAGATGTGTCCATACAACATACGTAAGGGAGGTCTTTCCTGGCAGAGAGCAGCAGGGAAAGGTATTAATGGTATTTATGGTGGCAAGCCAGCTACGTTTATATAAAAGAAGCCAGTCTGTAGGGTATGCCTTTCCAGTAGAAGTAAAATCACCCCTAAATGGGCCAAATTTGGTTTTGAATAGGAGCGAAAAAAATAATCATGGCTCCTAAGGATGTTTTGTGACCCTTCAGAATTTAATACTTAGATTGTCTTATTTAATTGACAGTAGAACCTCAATTAGCAAAAAAACCCTGTAAAGAGTTCTTTGGGAGGAGTGGTAATGAACAACACTAAGCTTGTGTGTGGGACATTGGGAGAGTGAAAGTGGTGCATAGTGTGGAATGGCTAAGTGGTGAAGCTGCTTGTACTAGCCTCATTTGCATCATTGCAGAGGTTGGACTGGAGAGTATAAATACAAGAGAATTCCTGGGGGCTTTAAGCCTGTAAGTAAGGTCAGTTTTATAAAGATCACTGTGAACATTTTAAAGATGTAATGGGGGTGGAGATGAAGGTGGGTAGGGGAGCCTGCTGGAGACAGGGAGGCTGATAGTAGAGAAGAGTAAAGGTTACATTTTGTCTAAACCAGAATACTTTTCCTTTTGAAAGTTAAGGCCATTACTGATTGTATCAAGGTTATAGTTAAACCAGGAGATATGCTTTTGATTATAGGAAACAGTGCAGTTATTCAGGTGTGAGGTAAGGTCCAGGATGCAGAGATGGCAGCAGCAGATGGGATAGTAAGACACTGAGGAGGAACAGTAGGCACTAAGTGGTCAGTGATTGCAGAGGGGGTGTCTGCCCCCAACCCCACCAGAATTTTTATTTAGGCTGTGTAGTCCGTGTAACTATAGTATGTGAATATAAGCAGATGAAGTTTTAGAAACATTTGTTAACTATATGAAATACAGAATACTATCACAGTGTGGTATATTACCTCCACTGCAGAAACTCCCTCTTTCCTCCTCCTAATTAATACCTTTCCCCAAGGATACCGCTGCTCTGCTTCTGTCACCATAGATTTATTCTTTTTTTTTTTTTTTTTTGACAGAGTTACAGAGATAGAAAGGTCTTCCTTCCGTTGGTTCACTCCCCAAATGGCCACTACGGCCAGCGCTGTACTGATCTGAAGCCAGGAGCCAGGTGCTTCCTCCTGGTCTCCCATGCGGGTGCAGGGCCCAAGCACTTGGGCCATCCTCCACTGCACTCCCAGGCCACAGCAGAGAGCTGGATTGGAAGAGGAGCAACCAGGACTAGAACCCGGTGCCCATATGGGATGTGGGTGCCACAGGTAGAGGATTAACCAAGTGAGCCACAGCACTGGCCTCTATATTCTTGCTTTTGAACTTAGTGGATTCTGACACCTTTTCAGGATGGACTTTCTACCTCCTCTCTGGGGCTTTCCTTCCTGTTTCTGTGATCCTCATTTATATTCTGGCTCACCAATTTATTTACCTCTTTGTATACCTCGTTGATTCTGGACCACTCTTGGGAAAAGGGCCTATCAGTGTCAGATGCTGCAGTTATACCTTGTCCTAACTTGTGTTTCCTTTGGACCTCTGCAATGGCACCAGGGCAAGTCTAGCAAAATCTTCCTAACTTTTGTTTACTTGAAACAGGCTTGGGTGTCAAAAGCAAAATACGGCTGAGATGATTTTTAGTTTTTGGATCGGGTAACTGTATATGATAGCACATGATTAAGGAACAGAATTGTGGGGAAAATTCACTGTTGGAAAGGGACTCCCTACAGGAATGCACATAGAGATGTTTAGTCAGCATTTAGTACTTCAGATCAAACTAGGCTATAATTGTGAATTGGTGTGAGTATCTATATTGTATGGGTCATAATTAAAATCGTAGTGTTAGCGGAAGTATGCAGGGTGAAATACATAGTGAGAATTAAAGGGGACCAAGGATAGACCCTTGGGGTATTCTCATATGAAAGGAATGGAGGCGGGAGGGGTGGGTGGCGGCACTGTGGCCTAGTGGGTAAAGCCGCCAGCTGCAGTACTGGCAATCCCATTTGGGTGCCAGTTGGAGTCCTGGCTGCTCTACTTCAGATCCAGCCCTCTGCTATGGCCTGGGAAAGCAGCAAAAGTTCTTGGGCCCTGCACCCATGTGTGGAGGCCTAGAAGAAGCTCCAGGCTCCTGGCTTCAGATCAGCCCAGTTCTGGCCATTGCGGCCATTTGGGGAGTTAACCAATGGGTGGAAGACCTACCACTCTCTGTCTACCTCTGCGTCTCTGTAACTGTGCCTTTCAAATAAGTAAATGTTTAAAAAAAAAAATAAATAAATGGAGGAATGAAAATAAGTTGCTACAAGAGTAGAGAACAGAAGAGATGATTCTAGAAGGGAATCACTAATTGCATTTGTTAGATACTGTTATGTAGAGAGCACAAAATGATAAATCCTTTTAATTGCTTCTGTAATAATTATTCAGTGAGGGGCTGGCGCCGTGGCGCACTAGGTTAATACTCCACCTGTGGCGCCGGCATCCCATATGGACGCCAGTTCTAGTCCCAGCTGGTCCACTTCCGATCCAGCTCTCTGCTTTGGCCTGGGAGAGCAGTGGAAGATGGCCCAAGTCCTTGGGCCCCTGCACCCATGTGAGAGACCCAGAGGAAGCTCCTGGCTTCGGATTGGCTCAGCTCCGGCCGATGCGGCCATCTGGGGAGTGAACCAACGGAGGGAGGACCTTTGTCTCTGTCTCTTCCTCTCACTGTCTGTAACTCTACCTCTCGAATAAATAAAATCTTTAAGAAAAAAAAAAGGCAAATCAAGGCAGCAGGTCTGCTGTTTATGATTGAGCGCTGATGGGAAGAATGATAATACAGGACTCTGATCTTCTGCCTGGTCTTTGAATATCACCACAATCACCATCTCCCTTCCCACCTCCAATCAGGTACATTTTAACCCAGTCATGAATTGCATGAAGACATTTTGGTCTGCATATAAGACAGTGGTGGCTAGTGATTGTTTCAGCTGTTGTGACATTGTACTCTGATGGTCACACAGTGATGCATTTCTGAAAACTTCTCTTGAAGTGAAGATGGCTGTACATGAGAATACCCTAACATTACTGTTCTTGTGTTTCTCAAACTGGAGAGTATCTTAAAACACTTCGCTCACCCTTCACTTTTTAAGCTAGAACCTTCTGGAATATAGAGTAAACATTAGTATTTATAGAAAGCTTCTCAAATAATCCATATATTTAGACAGGGGTGAGAAACATTTTCCTTTGTACCACATTCTCTACTGTCTACATGGGTTGCATAGGATGGAAACAGGGAGTAGCTTTATCAGCCCTTAGATTTTGTATTTGCTTAAGCCTACATCCCATCCTGGGCTTCATTATGGAGAATTTGACTCTAAGCAAGTTACCTAATGTCTATGACTGTGTTTTGGGAATTGTTCTGTAAACTTAAGTGAGACAGTATGTAAAATTATTTAATAAAGTTACTTCATGATGTACACTCAGTAAATGGTAGCCATTTGTTTTAACTTTGTTTCCTCTGTTTAGAAAGCCATTCTCTGGTTTGTTCAGACTCATCACTGAAATCCCATCTCAGTGGCTCATCTGCAAAATTGTGCCTCCTTTCTTATTTCTTTTTCCATCTATGTCACCAGGATACCTTTCCACAGTCTGCTGCCATCATGATTACTGGGTTGTGGTTAAGTGGATGTTTGTTTCTCTGGCTGTAAGTTCTTTGAGGATAAGGATGGTATCTTTATCTCCCAGTGCCCATAATGCAGTCCTTGGTATGTAAGTATCCAAATGTGTATAGATGAAATGACTTCAAAAAGAAAGCATTGCGGGTGTTGGCTTTGTGGCTTGGCGAGTTAGGCTGCCACCCGTGATGCTGGTATTCCTTATGAGGGCTGCTCCATTTCTGCCTCCCTGCTTACGCGCCTGGGAAGGCAGCGGAGGATGGCCCAAGTGTTTGGGCCCCTGCATGCATGTGGGAGTCTGGACAAACTTCCTGGCTTCAGCCTGACCTAGCTTTGGCCTTTGTGGTCATTTGGCTAGTTTACCAGTAAGTCGGAGATACGTGTATCTGAGTTTCCCCTCTTTCTCCTTCCCTCTTTCTGTAACTCTGCTTTTCAGTGGAATATATAAATTTTTTAAAAAAGGAAACAATGTGAAAAATACTGTTCACCACTGTTGGTGGTTTGAGGTACTGAGTTTAAAAGACTTGATGAAATTTGGCAGTCTGGCAACAGTCAACTGTTTTGTGTGGCTATTCTTGACAGATCTGATGAAGAAAGTTTGTCATGTGTTGGAATAGAAATTCCTTTACTGTATGGCTTCAGGATGCTTTTGCACAAAATAACACAGAGAAATACAAATGAGCCATTTAAAAAAAATTTTTTTTTTTTTTGAGAGGCTAGCAGAGACTGACAGGCAGACAAAGCTCCCATCCACTGGTTTACTCCCAAATACCTGCAACCTCCAGGTGCAACCAGAAGCTAGGAACTCCATCCAGGTCTCCTCTGTGGCTGGCAAGGGCCCAACTACTGTAGTCATTACCTGCTGCTTCCCAGGATGCACATTAGCGGGAAGCTGAAATCAGGAGAATAGCTTAGGTCTTGAGCCCAGGCACTCTGATTGGGAAAGTGGCATCCTAAGCATTGTCTTACTGCCGTGCCAAACACTTGCCCCTTAACTTATTTATTTGTTTGTTTTTGAGACACAAAGTGAGATGAAGTAATCTCACATTCACTGATTGACTCTACAAATGCCCACGACAGCTGGCAGTGGGCTGAGGTTGGAAGCAAGGAACTCAATCCAGGTCTCCCTCCTGAGTAGTTTCTTGCTGCCTTTCCTGGGAGTGTGCATAAGCAGGAAACTGGAATAGGGAGTCAAAGCCAGGACTTGAACCCAGGCACTCAGATAGGGGTGCAGTTTTAATTTTTCATATATTTTTCGTGAGGTGGTTAAAACTAGCCAGACAAAAAATGACATACTTGACGAGATGTTAATATAACTGCCTACTTAAAACCAGAAAGGGTTATGTTGTGTTTTTGTTAAACTGATTTATTTTGAACTAAAAGTTGATGGAGTTAGGACTGGAAAAATATAAAATTTAGTGTTGTAATCATTAATCTGTTTAGAATTAGAGTGAAGACCTTTAATTGTACATTTGTAGAGATTTTTCTGCGTTGAGAAAAGAGCACCATTGTACGTAGAGTCATTTTTTAGTGAGTCACTGGCACAGCTCTGAGGGTGGCAAAACAAAGATTCTGTTGTGCTTTTCCACAGCAGATGTCCATTCAGAGGGTTCCTGGGAAAGAAAAGGAACTCATTTGTGTTTTTGGGGCCCTTTGACCTTCATTTGTAAACTCAACTGGATAGAAAAGGAATGTTAGAGTGGATGGGGCTTTTACTAGAGAGCATCTTTTTTAAGCATGTCATTTTATGTCTGTTGGCGATTCCTAGTGTGAGGAAAAGCTGTGGCCATCTGAGAGGCACAGTAAGATTCTGTTTCTGAGGGGCTGAGGAGCTTCATTTGCCAAAGGGGAAAAGAGCTTCCAAAGGCATGAAGAGCTTGAGAAGGTCAAGACAAATCCAAGGTCAGTGGAAGGGATGGACTGATGGTGAGCTCTGTGTCACTGTGGCTGTCACTTGGCATTACCTTTGGGTAAAGTTCTACTTGGTAAAACTAAGATCTGGCTGTAAATAGAACTTCCCACTTTATTAAAAACTCTACGTTGTGGATGCTTAAGCAGCACCTGCTTGAGGTTCCTTGGAGGTGTAACTCCTAAGGTAGAGGCACATTCTTTATTACTTTGCCATAAACTGAAACTTTGGCTGCTGGAGGGCTTCAGGGCTTTGGTGCTGACAGAGCCAATAGGGCTCATTGGACAGGACCCTTGAGTAAATAGAGAAACCAGCACTATCTGGTAGGTGTTTGTCAATGTGTATGTATATTACTCTGGAAATACTTCTGCCTGTAGAATCAGCTTGTTAGGTGGTGTCTTGCTCAAGGTCATGGGACTCACCAGTGAATTTCAGTCCTGTGAAATACCCAGCTGGCTTTCACTTTATCAGAACAGTAAACTTAACAGTGCCTTTTTTTTTTTTAATATTAATTTATTTAAAAGGCAGAAATACAGAGACACAAGTAGAGAGAGATCTTCTGTCTGCTGGTTCACTACCCATATGCCCAAAACAGCCAGGGCTGGGCCAGGGCAGGCCAAAGCCAGGAGCTACGAGCTTCTTCTCGGTGCAGGGGCCAGAAACTTGGGCTCTCTTCCACTGCTTTCCCAGGTGCATTAGCAGGGAGTTGGATTGAAAGTGGAGCAGCTGGAACTTGAGTTGGTACCCGTAGGGGATATTGGCAGTACAGGCAGAGGCTTAACTTCACCAAAGCACTGGCCCTAGGCGGTTTTTTTTTTTTTTTTTTTTTTTTTTTTTAAAGATTGTATTTATTTGAGAGGTAGAGTTACAGACACTGTCAACTCCCCCCAGGAAGGCCCCATTGGTTCACTCCCCAGATGGCCGCAATGACCAGAGCTGAGCCAATCTGAAGCCAGGAACCAGGGGCTTCTTCCTGGTCTCCCATGTGGGTACAGGGCCCAAGCACTTGGGCCATCTTCTACTGCTTTCCTAGGCCGTAGCAGAGAGCTGGGTTGGAAGAGGGGCAGCTGGGACTAGAACCGGCGACCATATGGGATGCCGGCACCACAGGTGGAGGATTAACCTACTGCGCCATGCTGGCCCCGGCCCTAGGCTGTTTTTAAGCTTTGAATTTTTATTTCTGTACTGACGTCTGCATAAATGCCTAATTTTTCCCTGAGTAAATGTTCTTTGTTTAGTCTGTCTTATGCTCTATGGTGTACATTGAGTCCCCTCTGTATTCATGGGTTCAACTAACCGTGGGTTGAAAATATTTCAGGGAAAAATTGCCTCTGTCTGAACATGTGCCGACTTTATCCTTGTTACTCCCTGAGTAATACAGTATAACAGTTTACATAGCATTTACATGGTTTTGCATCTTACAAGTTATGTAGAGATGATTGAAAGTATACGTGAGGAAGTGTTTGGCTTAGATGGAAATATTCTGCTGTTTTATGTAAGGTACTTGAGCATCTGTGGATTTTGGTGTGTTGGGGGTGGTCCTGAAAGCAGCCCCCAAAGAAACTGAAACAACTGTACTTCAGGGTGCTTATGTCAATTTAATGAAATTTTGTAATGCTCATGTTTTATGTAAGATTAAAATAGATGTGCTTGACATGCGATTTGTAACATCAAATGTTGGAGTTTGTAGAAGGCTGCTGGGGAGGAAGAGTAGAGTGAGTAGGCAGGCACCATTTGAGTTGTTTTAGAAAAGAAGACTCTGGTTTGAGCTTAGAATATTTAAAAATTTAGGTGCTGAGGGCTGGCGCCGTGGCTCACTTGGTTAATCCTGCGCTTGTCGTGCCGGCATCCCATATGGGCACCGGGTTCTAGTCCCGGCTGCTCCTCTCCAGTCCAGCTCTCTGCTGTGGCCCGGGAAGGCAGTGGAGGATGGCCCAAGTGCTTGGGCCCCTGCACCCCCGTGGGAGACCAGGAGGAAGCATCTGGCTCCTGGCTTTGGGTCGGCGCAGCACCGGCCGTAGCGGCCATTTGGGGGATGAACCAACAGAAGACGGACCTTTCTCTTTCTCTCTCTCACTGTCTATAACTGTCAAATAAAAAAAAATTTAGATGCTGAAAGGAAACTTTCTCCTAAACAGGAAACAGGTGCCAAGGGCACAAGATGAACATGGTATGTATGTGCACATTGTGTGGGCACCTAGAATTTGGGGACAAGGGTAAGTATTAAAATAAATGAGATTGGAGGAATGGTCGCGATCCAGATTATGAAAGATGTTCTCCTCGTTAAGGAGTCTGGGTTTGACTTTCAGAAAGCTCACTCTGATAGCAGTGTGAGAATGGACAGTAGGGGCACAGATGAGAGGCCTGAAAGCTGCTTTCATACATCGTTGAGAAATCATAAATCCCTACATTGCTCCGTTTAGGATGGTCAGCAAAGTTGTTTAGAAAGCAGAAATGATAGATTTTGGAGCTGGGCTATTGAAGGTGAGTGTTGTCACCTAAGTTAGGAAAGTTTACTTTGGGTATTCAGTACTTAGGGATTTTGATTGGGTCAACCATATGAGATTATTCGGTGTCCAGTAAAATGTGTAAGTTTTCCAGAGAGCTCTGGAGTAGAAATATAAACATGAGATTCATGGTGTTTATATCGTAGTTCAGGCTTTGGAGGTGGAGTATATTCCTCATCATAAACTGTCTCAGTGAAGAAAGGGTAAAAGAAATGTGGGAACATAAACTTTATAAACATTTAAGGGAGTGAGACAAGAACAAGAGTCTGTGAAGGAAATTTGTAACAGATCAGAAAGATAGTGATAGTATAAAGAATAGCAAAAACATGTTGTGCTTTAGATGCTCATTGAATGCTTGCCTTGCTTATAGTAGGTTTACATATGAAACAAAAATGCAGTTGAAGAGTGTTTATTTTGGCTCAAGAAATTTTGAAATCCCTGCATAGTTTTTCTTTATCTTTTTTTTTTTTTTTTAAGATTTTATTTATTTTATTTGACAGGCAGAGTTAGACAGAGGGAGAGACAGAGAAAAAGGTCCTTCCATTGGTCCACTTGCCAAATGGCCCCAACTGCCAGAGCTGCGCCGATCTGAAGCCAGGAGCCAGGCGCTTCCTCCCGGTCTCCCAGCTGGGCGCAGGGGCCCAAGGACTTGGACCATCCTTCACCTCCCTCCTGGGCCATAGCAGAGAGCTGGATTGGAAGTGTAGCAGCCGGGACTAGAACTGGCACCCATATGGGATGCCAGTGCCACAGGCAAAAGATTGACCTAGTGCGCCATGGCACTGCCCCCAATGGTTATTCATAATACACTTTTCCCACAAACTTTTTGAAGGCTCCTTGTACATTTAATTGTTAAAAAAAATCTCAGAGGAGATGTTATGCACATTGGGGAAGTGGAATCACAAAGAGATTAACTTGTTAAAAGTTAGAAGTGGTTGAAGTCAGGATTCTTACATAGCAGTCTGTAATATTGTAGTCTGTATTTGTAACCATTGCTAAATGGCTTTTGGGATAGGAACCCTGGGAATCATATTACAGAGATGAGAAGAGAGACTTCGAATGAGGGAGTGAATTAATGAATGAGTCAGTAGTCAGGTGCTACGGAGAATATGAAGAGAGATAATGATTGGAAAGTGCATGTGGAATTTATAATTACTGAATCTTGGGTGATTTCACAATGAGTAGTAGGATCAGAAAAGTGAACTTTAAAATATACTTTGAACTTCTAAGTAATTAGATGCTCAATCTTTCGATATATAATTTCAGTGCTTAATTATTAGGGTCCTGAAGTTTCAGCATGAGACTTTTATTCTTAAAAATTAAAATGTCAGGGTACAATTTTTTAATATTAGATTTTTTATAAATGTAGTTTTCAAGTAATTTATTTAAGCAATATCTACTAATGTACAAATTACAAATTCAAGTTTCCTATGAGGAATGTATACTTAAATCTATATCAAGACAAGTATTAGTTTCTAATGTAGTGATGGGGGCACTTTGTTCTGAGTGAAGCTCAGCATATGAAGATGATTTGCAATGCAGGAGAAAAGATAATTTTAGAATGGACTGTAGACCATTCTTTTGACTTGAAATTCAAATAAAGTTAGTAATATCTGTCCCCATATGAAGGAGGAAGCAAGAAATAATTATTCTCTATCACTTATTTTGCTATTATGAAATATTTTAAGAGAAATATTAGAATAGAAGAGCTTTTATTGTGTACCTTTTATTAAGAGTAATATTTTACCTTATTTATGTCCCTTTTGCTAGCATTTTGCTGACATATTTGATCATGCTTTGTGTCATACCAGTTATCTTCAGGATGTTACAGAAGCTACTTGAAAAAAATTTTGGGAAGGAGGAATTAAAAGATAGTTATTTCAGTGCAAAAGTTTTGAAATCTTGGCATAGTTTTTTCATAGTACACATTGTCCATGAATTTTTTGAAGACTTCTCATATGCATGGGTTCCAAAGTTTTTTGCACCAAGGTCAAATTATCTCATAGTTCTATTTTGCACAAACTTTTTGAAATACCCTTGTGTCGCTCCCCCTCTTCGTGGAGGAACGACATAATGGTGCCGTGACTCGGATAGGAAGCCTAGGAGGGAAGAAGCGGGAAGAAGTGGGAAAATACCAGAGAAAGAGACTAGCAAAGAGCCTAGGGAAAAGCCGGACGGAAAAGGTGCCGGAAGAAGCTATCGAAAGCCTAGGCATAGACTCGGATACGGACTGTGGGAAAGAAGTTAGGATTGAAAGCTAGGATTGAAAGTGAAAGTGAAACCTAGAAGAAACTTAGACTCGGATACGGACTGTGGGGAGAAGCCAGGAAAAATGAGGGAGGAATATTGTTGGAAGAAAACTTAGGGAAACATACCGGGTAGAGAAAAATGTTAGGGAAAATGAAGCTGCGGGGGCAGGCTGAGGCGGAGACGTAAGCTATGTTGGGATTCGTCGAGTCAGCCCGGGGAACAAGGGGCGAAAATCT